TGATTGTCTAGCATCAATCATGTCCAGAACAGCCCTTGTAGTGCTTCAAGAGAAATCGGAAGATCATGACCCTCAACCCTGTTGAGTCGCGTTACACATCTCTTTAATCGCGAACTGTACACCATGAGGAAAGGCTATCTCCTGCAGCCGATTCCATACCCTTCGCCGACTCGATCCAGTTGTGCCAGTCCATAACGCTATCGATATCCATGCTAGCATCCACAAAACCCATATCCAAAGTCTGGATTATGTCGTCCGCTGACGTCCAAGGGACGGAGGCAAGATTGACAGCAGGATTCGTAGCCGCAGCGGACACGCCGTACAAATGATCAGGCGTGGGCCCCATCGGAGCGGCACCGTGCGTATCCGGCATCCTCAATCCTGAACTAGCGATATTGACAGCAATTGCGGCATCGGTAGATGGTATCGCCTCATTGATGGTAGCCAGCGCAGGCGAAGAGTTGTCCGCCACTGATGTAGTAACCAGCTGGCGCCACCGCTGACGGTAAGCCTCGCTGACGGGGGGTCCTGCGCCTAGGAGTCCAGGGCTGGATGGCGTAGGAGCATTCTGGGCCTCGACTTCAAGTTTGGCAACAGCCTCCTGATCGCACCGCAGTCGGGTGAGCTCAGCGTCACGATGCCGTCGCGCTTTTTCCATCAGCTTCCGGAGAGGAACCCAAATGCCCCGTCTTCCGACGGCCGGCGACGGCGCAGGAATCAACCAGCTGCTGTTCAGGGCGGTCCACGCCCGTTCGACGAACGGTGACCACGGACGGCGCGAGATCTCGATCAACAGGTACACGATTGCATGCCAGTGTGTGCACGTTTGATATAGCCAGCGCAGGTGGCGACCGGAATTTTCCGCGTTGAGCGCATGGTTGTACTCTGCCACTTCAATAGCCGCACACAGCAGCTTGGTTCTGATCGCTTCTGTCAGCTCCTCGCTGGGAGAAGAGAACAGGACAGGCAGGAAGACGATCAGCGTCATCTTGGCCATCACCATGCGAATCAGGTTAACGGCGACCCAGGATACGATATTGGTGGACCCAGCCGTGTGTTGCAGGTACTCTTCGTCGAGCTTGCGATAGATCTCGTCCACCGAGCGGCTTTGCTCCTGCATGCCCTCGACCCCTTTCGCAATCCCACGGCTCATCATGTCTCGCATGATATTAGTCATGTGTGCCGAGAGTCGGGGAACGGACATGTCTGTCAAGCCGTTGCGCTCGCGAGGAGTCTCTTTGGTGTCGGGGTTGATGTCACTGTCGTTGATATTGAGGGGGAGCTTCGTGTCGAAGCTCCCTTGCATGATAGTTAAATCTGTCCCTTGATCTTCGGAGGCTCGTATATCCAACAGGCACACCCCCCACCACGCCCTGCGGCGCAGCTCAACTTCATACGGGGTGAAGCGGTCAAAGTGAGCGCCGTCGCGATGCAGACCCAGGTAATGAGCCATCCGAATCACAAACCCGGTCATCATCCATATGTACCTAGGGCTATCGTATCGACGGGAGAGATAGAGGAAGATGGTGAATGCTTGCACAAGGACGATGTCGGGAGCATTCAGAAAATCGGATTTAGCAAGAGCCTGCTCCAGCCCTCGACGATATTTGAGATTCAGATCGTACTTGGAGGCGCCAAAATTGGTCATAACCTGCTTTGGTCAGCATCCGACATGGGGAAGCACCGAGGGGAGAGATCCTACATCCTCGTCTTCCATCGAGGCTATTGTGGCATGGTAGATTGCAAAGAGTAGGGCCTCATTGGAGGGCGAGAGAGACTTCATGCCACTTTTGCGCCAGTCGCGGACCACATTCGAAACGGTAGGCATATGCACAACCCCTAAGAAATAGTTGACATTCTCCGCAAAGGTCTCCAGCAGGAAGGGAACCTGTGATGGCAAGGGGTGAAGCTCGCGGAGGTCTGGATTGGCGGAATTCAGATCCAGTCCGAAAATGAATGCATGGCGTTCTGCTGCCGTCCGTTCTGATTGGGAAAGTGACGGTTGTTGGCCGGGGGATTCGTGGTCTGGGCTGTCGGAGTCGTCATCTAATAAGGTGCTGGTGGCCATTCTTAGCCCATTAAGCTTTGTGCCCGTTAGAGGAGGCCTCGTGTTAATCTGCAGCACCGACACTAACGCACCTCATCGTCAACACGGGACCAGAAGCTGCTGCTCACATAGCGGCTGTGACTCTCATCCTGCAGGACCAGCCGTCCGAGCTGGGTGTGAACGTTATTGGTGCCCGCCTTGGAAGAGGATTCACTCGCATGGTCCTCGCGAGTCGAGCTGCCGGGTGAGTGGCTGCCAGACACGCTGGCCTTATCAGAGGACTCGGGGGACAAGGGCTGTCCCAACTGGTGCTTCAGCTCTTGGACCAGGCTCTCCAGTGTGTTCACCCTATCCATCAGCTGATCTACCCCCATAGTATTGTCTCTCGCAACAGTCGCAGCGATCGGATGAGTTGATGACGATTCTCTCAAGCGACGAGCCCATCTCGGGGGATGGTCGATGGTGGAGGGCGAGATGCAGGCGATCTTACCGCGACGGCAGTTGGAGCAAGGCGACTGTTTATCGCAGCGCACCTTGCGCTGGCGACAGACCAGACAGCTGCGCGGTTTGGCGGGGGTGACTGATGTTGATGCATTCGCGCGAAGTTCGGAGACCGACTGGGGGTTTAGCGCAGTGGGCGACATGGTGCAGTTGCATGACGGTGTAGTGTGGTTGGTGTTGTGGTTGGTGTTGTTGCTGACGGAGGATGGCTGGCTTATCGCGCGATTCTCGGGGAAGTTCAGAGAAGTCCAGATAAGGATAAGATCCAGCATCATCCAGCCTAGCCCGATTTGTCTCCCCGAGAAGAGGACGAGAACCACGCGAGATCCACCCGATGTCAGTTTCTATACTATATAATCAATTCCGTATCCTTTTTCCCCCTGTTCATTCCCTCGCTCTATTATCACGATCATATTCCAAGTCATCCCTCACACTACACTCACATCATTTCCTCTTGAATCATTTGAAATCTATCCAAATGGACGCCCCCTCCTGCGAATGCATCAAAGGCACCATCCACGCCGGCCAACCCGTCGGCAGCGAGGAACCGCTCCACGGCCTCAACGTCTACGTGACCGGGAATCGCACCAATCCTCGTGCTATCATTGTTGTTTACTCTGATATCTTCGGCCTTCCTCTCCCCAACAACCGTCTTATCGCCGACGCTTACGCCAAGTCCGGCAACTACGTCGTCTACCTCCCGGACTTCTTCGAGGGCGACCCCGTTCCCCTCAAGACGGCCGACGTATTGCTTCCCGTCGACGCCAGCAAGCAGTCTACTCTGGCCAAATACACGGGCATTCTAGCAGCCGCGCCAGCCTTTCTGCTGTGGTGGAGAAGACATCGCGAGGCCCATACCCACAAGGTGTGCTTTGACTTCCTGGCCAACTTGCGACGGGATACCCCGGCCGACCGGAAGATCGGAATGGTCGGGTTCTGCTGGGGCGGCAAGTACGCCCTCCGGGCTGGGCTGGAAAGGAATCAGATTGAGGGGCAGGACGGGAAGAAGGTCCCCCTCGTGGACGCGGTGGTCGCGCTGCATCCCAGTCATGTCGCGTTGCCGGAGGATGTCGCGGATCTGGTGGTTCCGACGAGTGTCGGATGGGGGTTGGAGGATCAGGGGGTCAACATTGCCATGAAGGGTCAGGTGGAAGAGGTACATGAGAAGGAGAGACAGAAGGGAAGACAGCTGCCGGAGATTCAGCACAAAGTGTACAAGCCGGGTAGGCACGGGTTTGCGGTCAGAGGGAATCCCGATGATCCCTTGGAAAGGGCTTGTCTGGAGGATTCGGAGAAGCAGGTGCTGGACTGGTTTGCTCGGTGGTTGTGAGGGCGTATATGGCTGTGCAGGTAGCCGAGATCTGTCCTTGAATTACTCTCTTAGTTAATCATGTCCACTCTTGCATAATGAATATAATACATGACCCTTTTCTTGGCTTGGCAGCCTTGCATGGTCAGATCTTTCAGCTGGGGGTTATACTCCGCGAAGGAGGCAACGCTGGGAACAACCTTGCCATACTTGCAGTATGATTTCATACGGAAGCAGGTCCTCCAATAGAGATAGGTATATGATCTTACAGTCGAGAATGGCACGCAGTGTTTTCATCTATGTTGACTTCAGGATGGTTATCTCATGAGTTGAAAGGTCGAGTGCGCCCTGCATCAGGCCCCCAACCAGAGACATCCCGCATTACCCTCTCAACAGGGCCGGTGTTTCACCATGACATGAAGGCGCGAGCCTTGGTAACCAAGCGAGGAGGAAGTCTATCCTAGATGGTTGGCGGCTTGGCCTAGGCAGCAAGGACAAGGATCTGCAACAACTTTCAGCTCCAACATCTACCATGGCAATCCTTTCCTCTAAGCATACAAGAGAGGCTACCGGCATACAAGCTCATCCTCGGCTCCTCCTGTCCTGTGCCTAATGAGGAAGGAGATTAGTGATGCCTATAACCTCGTACTACTTCAGTGAGCCCTTCTGTCTTAGGTTCCAGATCCTGTGATGAATAGCAAAGAGGAGGGTCTATATCGAATAGATAGTCCTGAAACCCAGCCAAATCTGAAGGCCATGTACGTAGATAGTCGTTATGCGTGGGTTATGACCACCACCATCATCACAACCCTAATGGCCTCTGTGATGCGGGTGTACTAGATCAAGTTTCCATACCATTCCTCGTCCTATGGCACGACATCGCACGGTGAATATCAAGCATATTTCGGAAATATTCCTCGTAGCCGTCCCTTCCCTGCCACCAGGCAATATCGATGTCTGACCTGTCGAGCTGATTCACTGAACAGGCCTGCTGTGTAACTCTGACCCAACAACCCCTCATCTATCCTCACCCCGCTTCTTCCATCTTCTCTCTCACTTTTCATCTTCCATCCACCGCATACACGATCCTCCAAGCTCTCCCTCTCCACAGAAACGCATAAAAGGCACGATCCGGCCCTCTCTCGAGCACAAAATGTCCGACAACCAGCCGGCCGGCAACAGCGAGGACGGACTCGGTTTCAGAATCGAAGGCTTCGGCGTTGTGATTCTTCCTTTCTCTCTTCTCGAGCACCTCCTACATCTGACGCGTCCTGAGATCGAAGCCCAGAACCGATCCGACCACACCGTGATTCACTCGGCGTTGTTGGGCTCCTCGGAGTTCCATGACCTGGTCGAAGATGGCACCATCCCCGTGCACCCGCTGGATCTCATTTCTCTGTCTGATGAGGATGGTGATGGGGGTGACGCTGACAACAATGACAATGGCGACGGCCGTCAGTGACACCCCGCTTGCGCTTTGTGACAAACTTGCCGCGAGTGAGATTGACACTGGATCGGATGGCGTTGCTTGCTACGTGGAGGTCTTGGATGCCAATAATGCTACTGTGGCTGCTGTGGATCAAGATATCCCCGATGAGGAGGTGGAGGAAGTGGGGGTAGACGACTGGGATGAGATGGAGGACGTGGAGGAGGTGGAGGAGGAGGAGGAGGAGGAGGAAGGTGAAGAAGAAGACGAAGTGATGGATGTGGCACGAGATGAGTTGACCTGCGCCAATGAGATACCCACCTATGCCAGTGTCAGCGGGCTTTGCAGTCGAACTGTCCCTACGTCCGTGAATTTGCCTCCTGCAGCCCGCCGAGGAAGTCCTAACTGCCGGCTGTACAGCTATGGGAACGCCGTCTTCGTCATCTGCAACACCAGTACTTGTCATTCTCGGCGGTTCACCGCTCAACGGCAGACTTGCAATCGAATCTACAATAATTGCCGGCGGAGATCCAAGGGTGGCTATGTGAAGTATAGTGGGAACGCGGGCTTTTCGTCTTTGTATCGCTCTGGCACCACACGGCGGCCTCCGGCGTATGCAGTGTGCTAGGCTTGCTCACTGCGAGGTCACGGTGCAGTCATCTGGGCTACTATATGTAATGCCGCTGTTGTTGTTGCTGTGTGACAGCTTCCTCACTTCTGATCCTTTTACCGTCTTCTTACCCTTCTCTCATCTTTTTCTTGACACAAGTCGTCCTTGTCCCAGTTAGCTACACAAAGCACCTTAGCAAAGCTCTCCATTCACTCCAGTCTCTCCACAATAGCCCCAAGTAAGCCGTTCATCCCCAGATAGCAAGATAAATGGTACAAGGAATGAGCTTTTCATTCACGGGCCTATACCCCTTATTCTCGATTATGGATATTTTCTTGCTTGCGAAATCTTGCTTCATGGTACGTCAGGTCTTACCTCTCGGGTCCGTGGCATTCCGAAATTGTGTACAATATTAGTTTCAAAAGAGACTGTTGCAGAATCAAACACGAGAAAAGTGTCCTTAGCCTACAAGTCATTTGAAGCTTACTTGTAGAAGGTGAAATGCTACTTACATTTAGCAATATTAAGGCGTTCGATTGTTGCTAGATTGAAGGTCATAGAAGGGTATGATCCTCCAAAAAACAGATCTGACCATTAGATAAGCACCGGTGGCTCAGTGGTAGAGCGTCGCACTCGTAATGCGAAGGTCGTGGGTTCAAACCCCATTCGGTGCATATCCGAAATATGCTTCTTTTTTGTTCCCGCGGTTTCCACCACTGCACCGCTCCGACATATTTCATGGATACAGATACCTTGCTTGCTATATGGTTCGGGGTATGGTCGCATGCTTCCCGTCTCAGTCGGTCGAATACCGCTAAATTGATGTGCAGGACAGTAACAACTCCAAGTCCGAGCTCTGGGAGACCCGTATATGAGTACAGCCATCCGATCCTAAACCAGAGGCACCAGGGCACCTTATCCTACCAGGAATGCTACGGGGAATGCTACGAGGAATGCTTGAATTTGGGTGACAATAAAGCAAAAGCTGAAACAAGCACAGCAGAGAAAATCTTGAAAGTATAACTGCATCATTGAAGCTAGAGAATGAAAAACAAGTGAGCCCAGCGTCAAAAATCACAACAGGAGTCCGCCAGATATTCAGCTCCCTCACCAGATAATAGGTATCTGAGCTGGCACCGTTCCCGGCGCCTCGAGGACAAGCACCTTGACCTCCTCCCCGCGTACATAATGCTGCGCCATCGGAAACACCATGCACCCGGCCCACCGGGCCCCGTCCGCCCTCTCCCGCTGCTGCACCGGAAACTCGGAGGCGAGGAGGGGATTCCCCTGCACGGAGCTGCCGTCGCCCAGGTGGAGGGTTCGCAGCAGCCACCAGGCCTCGCTGCAGACGTTCATGTTGGGGCAGAGGATGACGATGGCGTCTTCCGGAATGGCTTCCGGGATTGCCATGGCGTCGGTGCGCTCGGTGCGCGGGCTGGAGGCGTCGAGCGCGACGCCGCAGACCTGGTGGGTGGTTAGCAGCTGTTGCACCTCGCGGAGGAGCTGGGCTCGGGGGGTAAGCGGGTTGAGATGCATGGTGGGGTTTGTTGTTGGGGCTTTGTTTGGAAGGGTTAGCTTTTACGTCTCTATGGTGTGTTGGAAGCGATGATGATGGCGATGATGAGGTGGGGGGTATAGGGAGGGTTGGATATGGCTTTTATATCTGAGGTTCTCGGAGACGAGGGATCCTCTTGATGGACATGGCCTTCATGGAGTGCTATCCAGTCTTTATCATGTGGAGGACGGAGAGATCGGAACAAGGAAAGCCTGCTGACTTAGAAGGAAGAGGATGGCTCTTCAACAAAGATAGGGGAATAGAACGTGTGAAAAGGCAAGGGTCTTTTCTTATATGCCATTGCATCGTCTGTTAAAGCAGGAACCAAGAGGTATTCTCCGGCATCAGCAAAGGTCACCACTGAATTCATTGTTCAAATAAGTGTCATGAGTCAATTAAGTATTCAAAAGCACAGACACGCATGCTTTGCTGTCTTAGCATGGCTGCTTCTCCTCCATTCTCGAGCCAAGAATCCACCCGTACAGCCGCAACAGTTTGCTCATCCCACTGTCTTTCATTCTTGGTATCTTCATCTCATTACATAAAACCAAGCATCGATTCCACAGACCGTCCCAACGCGATGCCACCTACTCCAGCTCATACCGCGGCGGTTCCGCCCCTGCCAACTCGCGCGCCTGCACCTGTTTCTTTGTGTCCAGCTCCCTGGGCGGCCCCTCCGTCACGCGCGCAGGCAATTCCACAAATCCTCCCTCCCCGGGCTTTCGTTTCTCGCCTGCATTCCGGCGCTGGCGCCGTTTCCGCCGCACCATCCACAGCACCGCCGCGGCGATGACCAGCGCCCCTCCGACCCCGACCCCGACCCCAATACCCGCTTTCGCCCCCGCGCTGAGTCCACCACTTCCGCTGGCCACCGTGGTGGAGTTCTGAGACGTCGTGGTGGTGTCGAGATGGAAGTATTCGGCCCAGCTGGCCTCCCACGAGGCGTTGGTGCCGGCGATCGACTTGGTGGGGACGGTGATGGTTGTGATGACTGCGTTCGAGACGGAGGGCCCCGGCGCCTGCGCGAGGAACCATGTGCCGGAGTTGGCGCCTTCGTGGTAGTTGACGCCGACGAAGGCGGATTGTAAGAAGGCCCGGCCCAGGACGGGGGTATCGGTCGAGAGGAAGCAGGGGAAGTAGGTCTGGTTTTGTTCGACCAGTGGTTCTTGCAGCGTCAGGGCGAGCTGCGCGAGGGGAACCTTGATGGTAAAATTCTGGCTGGTCGCGTTGTTGAGGCTGAAGGTGAAGGAGAGGTAAGTCGGGGAGGAGGTGAGATTGGCGTAGTTGCTGCTGGTGGTGTCCCAGAAATACAAGCCCAGGCTTTGGTTGAAGGACACTGGGAGCGAGGCGGTGATCGCATTGCAGGTCGCCTCCGGGAGGTACATGTAGGGCTTGGTCGGGTCGATGGTGACCACTTCAGCTGTGGATTCCCCCTCGCCGTGCTGGAATAAGCCCCCCTGGCTTGTGAAGCCTGCTGGTGTATTGTTTCCGATCAACCCGAGGCCAATGTCTTTAAGGGAGATCTGAAATGTGCCGCTTGTGGAGGTGACCGACTGTGCACTGACGTTTCCGAGGACGCGGCTCTGGTCGTACCCGCCCAAGACCAGGGAGGCTGGGATCGCTGGGCTGACCGATCCGATGTGCATGCCGTATGAATACGAGGGGATGGCATTGTCCCCGCCGGAGTTGTAAAGCCACGGGGTGATCATGTTCAGAGTGACATTGTCGACGGTAGCAGTCGACCACGGGGCCCCGAGGGCCAGGTTTCCCACTTGCACCGGATACGCCTTGCCGTTCGGATAGGTCTGGTAGGTCTGGTCGATGGCCTGAATGCTGACGTTGGGGACGGTCGGGCCGAACGAGATTTGATCCCCAAGATCTTCTTCAATACCTTTGCCTTCCACCGCCCAGTACAGTGTTTCCCACGAAGTCTTGCTCAGAAGGTGGGCCGAGGTTGATTCGGTTTGGTTGTACGTGCCGGCTTGGGAAGCATAGCATGTCGCAGAAACGGTCTTGTTGGTGCAGATGGAGTCCGTCAGGATGGTGGTGGTGTAAGTCGCGCCCGGGTACAATGCCACTGGTTGTTTATTGCTGCCAACCTCCACCGTCACTGCTTGCCATGGGCCGTCGGGGCCGTAGGCCTGGGAGGACCAGTTCATCACATAGGGACTGGCTGCGTACGTCGCGTCGAGGACGGCGAGGACGAGGAGAGATATTCGTTGCATGGTCACATCACAGTTGACCTTGGATGTGAAGGCAGGAAGAGAGAGAGGGAGAGAGAGCGCGCGCACGAGGGGAAGAGTGTAAAGAAGAAGGTGGAGAGGAAGGAGAGAAAGATTCCTTGGTGGTAAAAGGGGCGCAGTCGTCGTCGTACGCACGCACAGCCAGGTAACGTTAACTTAACCCCTTGCGTTGGGGGCGGAAAATGTGAGTAGTGTCAGTAGTGCTGACATCTGCTCCATTGCCTTGACTTATCGCCCTATGAAGATCGAGATTGGCGAAGGATTGGAATAAGCGATCGCAAATAAGTGGAGAATTGCTTGTTTTCCCGCATATCAGCCGTCCATCGCGGGTCAAGGAGGCCAATCAGTCCCCTCCATGCGGCCCCCATCTCACGGGCGTAAACATCCGTGCTCTGGCGGGATTTGTAGCCTCGACTGTGTTCTACTCTCCCACCTACCTTGATTGTTTCCATTAGTTGGAATCGAGAAATTTATCCCGTGTTTCGGGTGTTGTTTTACCAGCGGAAGGCCCGAGCCGTCTCGAGTCCGCATTTGCCCGCTCCTCCGAACCAGCCCTAATCGCGAAAAAATCAGTCCTCAGATCACTAACAGGTCCTTGTCAGTCTCTGGAGATTCCAGACTCGCAAACAGGGAGAAACGCTGCTGGCCTTAGTTGCACTTTTCTGGCTGCCCTTTGTTCACTTCGAGTCTTTGCAGGTGGTACAGCCGGAGTCTATTCCAGACCCAGGCCCCGCACATACAGAATCCCGATTGCGTGTATTAGTGCGGGTACTATCATCGCAATCTTCTCTACCTATTGACTTGAATCTCTCAGATGGCCTGCTGAGGAAATGAAGAAAAACTTGTTTCGCGCTGTGAGTGCATGCTTTGAACGCAGGCTTGCTTTCAGTGAGGTCACCACCCTCGTGCCCCGCACTTTCGGTGTGATGAAGGAGGAATTGGCGATGAGCTGTTCAGCCAGCAAACTTGATGGCCAAGGGGGCGAAGAGCAGATATCGACGGCCTTTTGAACCGAGAACTCGGGGGAGATGGGAAATTCAAGCCATCGCTGCTGCCGGCGGGGTGGTGACGGTGTATACTGCACGAGATCCGAGCTGAGAAGATTTCGAGGAGGAGACGCCAACCGATTCGGATACGGAGTGGCTCGAGTCAGGCGAGGTCGACTATCTGCCGTTCATCACCCCATAGGACGCGAGTCCTAAGTGGGCGCTGATAGTGATGGACTGCTTCTCGTATGAAGGGAATAGCTGGAGTGGGAGGACCGGCTGGGATCGTCGGTCTGGGTCGGGCATCTCAGTTATTGCTCAAGACAACCCTCATATCATCGTATCCCGGAAGCGCACCAAACAAGGGCGGGTCGGGGTCTACGATCCAAGTGGTTTGGTCACCTTTCTGGGAATATGCTTGTATAGGAGAGCGAATGTTTGTGCATGGGGTGGAGATGTTTATGTGGGATGGAGTGATTCGCACCAGTGATCGAATTGTATGCATCCTGGAAGATTAACTCCCATCACCGGACAACGAAAGAAATCTCAATTGCATTCAATCTCATTGCCTGGGCAATTGACCTGCTCGTACATCCGTAGAAGCTGTCCACGTCCCGGCACTCTTGGGAGGAGCTACGTTGAACACGTCAGCTCTTGGGATCCAGACCGACAATTTAGGTGAAGCGCTAACGAAGCCAAGAAGCGCCTATCCTGAAAGAAGCCTTACCTTCCATACCCCATACCCCGCGTTTTGAAGGTGGTGGTGAAGATTGTAGATGGTCGGACGCGCCAACCGGCCTTGTTTCGTCGGCTCCACATCAGAGTTCGGCATGTCTGGGGCAAGTTGATGTGCTTGACAACGACAGCTACGCGAAATGCAAGAGTGAAGCCTGCAATGCTTTCGGTTCGTGTGGTCGAGGATGAGAAGATGTGCGTGGTAGCGTACATTTAGTGCATTGCAGTCTGCTGGCCCACTTTCGGGCAGATGGTGCTGTCTCCAGCTTTCTCCCGAGCATTGCTCAACGATTGAAATCGTTGTCACGGCCCCACTGCTTTTCACTCAACTTGCTAAGAAATGTGAGGTTCAGGTTCACTCCCAGGTCATTGCGAGCACAAGACAGGGACGGTATATAAGCTGCTTCCAGCTGCCTGTGAATGCCTTCCATGACCACCTCATCAGTATCTCCACATTGAGATCAGCCATGGCGTCTCTCACGCTGCTTCTTCTGTCGTATCTACCGCAGGTCTTTGCTTCTATCACGGTCTGGGACCCCAGCGATTCCGCTGATGTGACGGCCGATGCTGTAGACAACACACTGGTGGCCGATTACACCACCGACAATGGCGGCGCGCAGTACCTGATCTACAATATCTCCGGACCATATTACTACTCAGAAGAGGATGTCGAACTGGCACACGTGACTCTGACGGTCGACGCCAATGATACCAGCGTCCTCGTCGGCACGGAGGGATCAGTCGTGAACCTCTCCTACAGCGATGTGATCAAGTATGGCTACAGCACATGGCTGAACCAGGCCAGTTTCTTCGGCGTCAACGCGGCAATCAACATCGCCAACCAATCGACCGCGTACATCGACCATGCCAACGTGACGGTCCACAACGGCGCTGCCAACATCTATGCCTACGGCACCGGCACCATCGTCTATGTCAACGAGACCGACCTCTACAGCTCCGGACCGGTGTCGCATGGCTTATACGCCGGCGGCAACGGCACCTTTGTGGCCAATAACATCCGCCATTTCTCGGGCGGCGAGCGCAGCTCGGCCTTCTCCGGAGACAGTCCAGCCGGATATCTGCACATCACCGACGCCGTCGCCCACACAGCCGGCATCGGAAGCGCCATCTTCTACACTCTAGGCGAGACTTATGGCACCAATGTGATCGGACATGCCGAGAACGCACCGAGCCTGTTCTCTGATGGGGTGCAGAAGTCGGCTTTTACCAATGTCGACCTCACCGCAGGCTTGCTCGCCGGCACCATCCTCTTCTCCTCTTCTTCGCGCAGCAGTGGCGCTTCGCTGAGCTTCACGAATTCCCGGTTGACCACTCTTGGGGACGACATGCCCGCGTTGTGGTTCGGCAATATCATCGCCGAGGCCGAACTGATCGCCACCACGCTGAACACCACTTCCGGTGTTCTGGTTCTGGCCAACACCTCGCAGGTGACGCAGGCGTTCGACCATTTTGCCGGGTATGAGGAGAATTCCAGTATCCAACCGGCCGAGGTGACCGTGACCGTGTCGGAGTCGACTCTGACAGGCGACATTGTCGCGTACAACAGCAGTCTCATTGCTTGGAGCTTGACCGACTATTCCAGCTGGACCGGGTCTGCTGTGGATGGTCGCGGCAAGGGGTACTTGGGCGTCTCGCTCGATGCCACTTCGAACTGGACTCTGACTCAGAGTGTCTATCTGCAGAACTTCACCGACGCAGATACCTCCTTCAATAACATCATCAGCCAGGGGTATAGCATCTACTACAATAAGTCGTCCTCGGCCAACTCGTGGCTGGGATCGGCTAATGCCACCTTGCCCGGTGGTGGAAGCTTGATCGCGTACTAGGCAAATCCTGCGACACGGATGACTTGACGACTACTGTTTGGGGTATTCTCGTATCTTTCAGTGTCGCCGTTTCTGGTCGAAATGATAATCGTGAAAAGGTGGACTGCTATGGACCAGAAGACCCCTGGTTGGAATTGAGAGGAAGCGGGAGAGAAAGGATGGACTGTAATTAGCTGCGTGATGTTGAGCGCCCGACCTACTTCTCTCTCTTGTTTAGCCTTGAGATCCATGGGTTGACACTTACTTTCTGCATGACAAGATTCAATGTAACCCACTAGCGGGGATTTTGGTAGAAGGAACAGCACATAGTCAATGAAAGCAATTGAGCGCAAACCCATGGACATCGGAGATCTGCTGCTACATCGCTTGTAGTCGACGGTAGTGGCTTGGTGGATGATCCCACAAATGTGGGCGTTAGTCAACCAAGTTCGAACGTGCCATGGCCCGTTGAGCATTCGACAACGAGCATATCCTGGTGATAAGCGATGGCTCGTTTCAAAATCAAACAGCGTCCATTCATCGGCTTAATCGAAACTATAGCACTATGCTGAGTACCTCAGCGCGAGGGACAAAACCCTCGCTCTGGCTCGGGCGAATAGGTGATAGATCGGATCCAGCCCGATGCAATTACCGCGCAGGATGAGGGGCATCGAGCCTTAGACCCCCTTATGGCCGAACAGTTCCTATCTAGGCATTGAAGCCCGATGACGGTGCAATTGGGTTCAGATGAAACGTGCTTTACCACCGATTGCATTCATGGAAATGGTAAGGAGGCAGGAAATTCCCAACGAGGGAGTGTAGAAGTAGATTTTTCCGGATGTGTGGGTTGAAAGCCCGTGGGGCTAATGCGAGGCCCAAAAGTAGAACCTCGACAGCCCTGTGCATTCATTTCTGTTGAGATAGCTTGCATCATTGCGAACAGCGATCGTCGGCCGCGATCAGCATGCTCGAAGCCGGACCGAACGGAAGAGGCCTGGAAGACAGCCATCAACAACGTGATCCAAGCGCCCGAGGTTTTGCCGGCCGCTAAGACAGATCCAATGGTTGCAAAATTAGGGTTCATGGGGGAGAAAGAGCCGGTGCATCGCCGGTGAAATGTGGGCTGCGAATCGGGGAGGGCAGATTGACTCAAAATTGAGCTGGCGGAGCGGCGCTCCACCCCTGAAACAACCATCGCTTTCCCCCAGCCGGTTTCAGGCTTGCAGCTCGTACTGCAGCTCGTACTGCATAAAATCTTCACTCTAGATGCGACAACACCGGCACTGGGCACCTCAAACCTGTGTCATCGACTCGGCCAAGATTGTGCTCGGATCCAGGGCACCAGTCAGGTCGTGGTGCTAGTCGTCCAGCTAGGATTACGGTTCGTGCTACTGGAGAAATCAATCATTTCAAAAAGCTTAAGTCCATCCCAGGCGCATATCACATCCGTGGATGACATGTCTCCTTGGTGGAGTCAACGCAATTCATCAAGCCGAGGTGCAGCGGTCGGATTCATGTTTCATCTCGATGGCAGAGAATTCGACAGAGAATTCCGGCCTGGCCCTGGCCTGGAGGAAGGTATAAAAGAGGCCGCTAGGTCTCTCCATTCTTTTCGTAGCAAGCTCAACCTCTTCAGTCTCTACAGTCGCTCGTTATCACGTCATCAGTCACCATGCATCTCAAGAAGTCCGTCGTCTTGGCCGGAGTGGCCATGGTCCCTGTGGCCTGCGCCGTGCCCACGAAGCGAGCTACCGCCGGTAAGTTCGTCCTCTTGGCTGCTGTCCAATAGATATGCTGACCTTTTCTCAGATACTGCCGAATGGACGGAGCTTCACCGGGCTGCGCAACTTGCCTCTGCCGCATACACTGGCTGTATCGGCACCGCATTTGATGTGACCATCACGAAGCAGCTGAATGATCTGGTCACAGACACTCAGGTAGGGACCGCATCATGATGCTCGATGACAAGGACTAACCCTTCCTAGGGCTTCATTGGCTACTCCACAGAGAAGAAGCGCATCACGGTTGCCATGAGAGGCTCAACCAGCGGTAAGCATCCATACACAACTTCATAGAGTCTGCAATGCTGATAGTTCCAGCCACTGACATCGCCAACGACGTTGACACGACATTGGTGACTCCCAGCCTCTCCGGCATCAACTTCCCATCAGGCGCCCAGATCATGCATGGCATCTACTCGCCCTGGTCATCGGTCCACGACACGGTCATCTCCGAGGTCAAGACCCTAGTGGAGCAGTACCCGGACTATGATCTGGAATCCACTGGCCACTCCCTGGGCGGGTCCCTGACGTACATGTCGTACATTGCGTTGACGCAGAACTTCCCAGAGAAGACGGTCATTAGCAATGCGCTGGCCGCATACCCGATCGGCAACTCCGCCTTTGCTGAGTTTGGCACTTCGCAGAATGGCACCTTGAACCGGGGTAACAATGCTGATGATGGTGTCCCGGTGAGTTCGGAATCGTCCCGGGCAAGAGAGTGAAAATGCTGACCGCGCACACAGAACATGTACATCATGTGGCCTTATGACTTTGTCCACTACGGAACGGTGAGTAGAACATCCTGCGCCGGGCCCTTGAATTCGTACTGATCCAACGAGCAGGAATACTACAGCTCCGGGACTCAGAGCAGCACGGTCAAGTGTAGCGGCGAGCGGGACACCCAGTGCTCAGCGGGCAACGGCCAGTTGGGTGTCACTGCAGGCCACTTCTCCAACTTTGGCATTGCGATGGGAATGGCTGGCTGCAGCGCTTCGCTGTTGTAGGAGTGCGAGTGTATTAGAGTGTGGACACGGCTGATGACGGAGCAAAGGGACTGGAGAGGGGAGCATCGCAGCAGGTCTGTGGTTCGTTTGTTGAGAATCGTGTGCAGTGTACCGGTTCGAGGCCCTATACAGGAGTTCAGTATCGTATAGTGAAATGTTTTTGGAATTGTATATAGGCTTGTGTGAGCCAACCTACCTAGGTCATCGCAATGTTGCGGAGGATGTAGAGCCGCGATATCGATCATGCCAATCCTCGCTTGGATCCAAAACGCCGATCAGGGTCAAGAGACCAACGTGCAAAAGTCTGTAGAGGATAGTATGAGTTCAGACAAGAAGCAAAGCAGGCATTGAAGGACGACAATTTGGAGCACGCGAGTCTTCTGACCGTCGATTCGTGCTATGCGCTGCTCAAGCCCGTCATTTCAGTTGAATGGTGTCTGGCAACATGCAATCGAAACAAGGACCGGTCGGACGAGGTTTTCAAAGGATAATTTCAAATTTTGATGCGCAGACCGGGCGAGCCAGTCGGAAGCAATGCGATCTTGAATAGCGACCACAGATGGTAGGCGATAGTGCTGTGGTTGAAGTTGTTGCCGATGCAGGCTTGTTGGTGTTTGTCATGACGCGCTGTCACATGCTCGGCGGTGTGGGCGAGGAAAAACAATGTTCCTGCCGGTGCGGACCGGAATCCTTCCGCTCTCTTCCGAGCTGAGGCTCCCGATTGACAGTCTCATACCGAGTTTACATGTTGAGCATGAGCAGAGGGGAAAAAAATTGATCTTTTGCGAGTAAATAATGTCGCTATCCCAGAATGAGGAGAGATAGACTTAGAGATCTATATTCTCAGCACTAACTCTATAGGTCTGCATTAGGTTGTTTCGATCTTGGTTTGGCTGCCGGGCGATGCACGAACTATATATTTCCTCCGCGGAACGCGTTCAGTGACTGGGCACAAGAGGCGTGGCATAGTCTTCAACGAAGCCCATTCTGCAAAGCCAGGATACTACTCCAACGGCGATTCTCGCCCATAAGCCGCACTCCTATGACATCCATTTACATTCGAGGCTGATATCCATAGATGTGGTGAAAGTGCCGGGTTGGGGTGTTTGCATTGTTTGTGGTGGAGCAGCAAGGCGTAATCCGCCGACGGCGACTCCACTGGCCAGTGGCCAGGTGGTTCAGTACAACAACAGCAAGGCTGACAGATTCGACGCCATGGCATATAATCATGTTGTGATCGCTGTCCACCTCCTTCGAGGACTGGCTTACTAACAAACCACCACACATCTACCATGTCGCTTCACGATCTCCCCGAGTTCCTCCTCCTCTGCCGCGAGGACGAGTCGGTGACCGCCTTCGAGGAGGCGCTGGCGCGACAATGGCCCGCCCACGCGACGGAGCCGAAGGTCCAGTTTCGCATTGTGAGGCAATCGCTGCGTGACGTGCCCGCCACTACCCCCTTCGACCTGATCGTCTCCCCCGCCAACTCCTACGGCCTCCTCGACGGGGCCTTCGACGATGCCATCACCCGCAAATTCTGCCTCCCCGACCATCCCTACGAGACCCTGACGCGAGCGGCGCAGCGGGTCCTCTACGAGCGCTGGCGCGGCTTTGTGCCCCCCGGAACGTGCACGCTGGTGCCCTTTCCCGAGTCCTTGACCCCCAACGAGTGGGGGTGTCGGTGGGTGGCCCTCTGTCCGACGATGCGCATGCCAGACCGCGTAAATTGGGATCGCGAGGTGGTGTACGAGTGTATCTGGAGTCTGCTGGGACAGCTAGAAGGGTGGAATCGGGGGCGTGCGACCGATCGCATTGAGCGGATCCTGATCCCTCCGCTGGCCACCGGGGTGGGCAGGGTCAGTCCGCAGCGCTGGGCGGCCCAGATGGTACTGGCGGTAAGACATTTTGTGGATGCGCTGGAGCGACCGGCGCACTGGAGCAAGATGAACTGGCTGGATGCGGCGGATCATCATCGTGATATCCTCCCCACGTGGAATATGTGATGGCGTGAGATGTGATGGGGCTGAGGAGGAAGAAGCGGGGGAGAAAGAAGGGGGGGAGGAAGATCTAGAATCTAGTCTTTCTCTATTACAAGACTCTAATATAGATCCACTATGATCGCAGATACACCTCATCCTTACTTCTTCTTCTCGAGACTTTCCTCGAGACTTTTATTCTGGGGGGAGCTCCCTGCTGCTCCCTTGCGTGGAGGGATCAGGGGAGGAGAAAATGGCGGAAGTCGCGGACATGCTCGGCCCACGGCGGTAGAATCTAGACGGGTCGACGAGGCGTGGTCCCGGGGACCGTCACCTCCGTCAGTGGCTTGTCAGGTTGGCGTTTAAGCAGCCACGGCGGGAGGTGACTGGCCTGACTGGCCTGACTCGCCTGTTTGCGCCGTTGCGGTCCGAGACGCCGTCTGACATGCTCGGAAAAAGCAGCAGCAAGAAGCGGAGAGAGCTATTGTGGTGCAGCAGCCGAGGCAGAGTGGCCTAGGAAGAAAAAAGAACTATACCTCGGAACTGATTTGGAGCACCGTACAACTGTACACTGCATGGACTTACTGTATGTCATGCACTCATGCTCAGCAATGAAACCACCAGACTAAAAATCTAAACGTTTCCAAAGGGAATCAGGGAAAGCCACCTTTCCCTTGCTGCATTCCAGTTTACCCTACTTCTCAATTTCTGGTGCATTTCCCCGCGCAATAAGGTTGAGAGGTCGAGGCACTAAACGTCGAGGATGGAGTTGATAAAAAAAGTCAAGATCGGATGGCAGGTGATCGACGAGAAACTAGACGACTAGAAGCCATCATCTGCACCGATCACCCGCGGGTCGATCGTGACACCTCTCCACCACTCTTCATCGATTCATCTATATCTATATCGGGTGCTTGTACTCCTCGTGTATCGTAGTCTCAAATGTCCCTCTTGGTCGATTGGGGGGTCTTGGATGCCAAACGTACGGGCTAAAGCAAGATCGTGAGCCGGGGGGGAAGGAAGAGTGGAGGCAGCGGTCCTCTGGAGCAATCTCGAGCAAACGAGGACCGTCTCGCATGCGGCCAAAATTCTCTCGAAATTCGGGGGGGCCCTGGCTATGGGGAGCAGGTTCTAGAGACCGGGGAAGCACGCAGATTGGCTGGAAGTGACAAGCAGAAACATCGCGTGGAATTCGACAGACCCACTTGGCGAGGACGTAAAGGGAGCGATGGCGTTGACAGCCGGGTCTAGACTGAGATAGACTGGGAACGACTGTTAGAGAGGAAGACCAAGGGGGGAATTGATTGGCACCTCGTGCAGCCCACTTTCCAACAATCTTGGATAGCCCTGTTGGTCGGCAAGTTTTATTGGTGGGGCTGACTGGCACGATGACGTCGAGGCTGAGATGACAATTCGCCAATTGGGGGGAGAAGTGTACGTAGTTCTACTCATAGATTGAGTAAAAATGCCGGTAGAGCCATAGTGTCGAGAGGGTCGAGAGGGTCGAGAGGGTCGAGAGTGTCGAGTAAATGCGTCGATCGATGATGGATGGACGGAGAACTTGTGACCGCCTGCCTCCCTTCATAATTCTTTTTCCCCCCGGAGAATTATGCCGGCTTCTGCCCACTTGTAGTAGTATGGATTGGTGGTAGTGCCTGGTCTTGCCGCCTTCCGCTCGTTCCAGCAACATTTCTCCTCCTCCTCCGCTAGTACTAGTATTTACTTCCCCCTCCCGGCTTTTTCTCTCCTTCTTTGCCTCTTCGCCTCTTCGCCTCCCTCCCTTCCTTCCCCCTCCCCTCGCTCTCTTTTCCTACTCTTTGGACCTCCCCTCTCATTTCCCCCTCCCCCCTCCCCCCTTCCACTTTCTTTTCTCTGCTCGTATTCCGCAGCCCCGGATGTAGCTTGGTGAACGTGGTTCGTTGTGTTTATTCACTTCATCCCCCCTCCCCGCGCAATTCCAACATCCGCGCCCATGTCCGAGTCCTTCGAGTCCGAGGCGGCGGTGATCCACGATCCTGCCAGCATGGCGCAGGAGCGGGAGTTCTACAAGTGAGTCGTTTCCTCGTCCCCTCTTCATCTCATTGAAATCAGGTAGACTGATCACAATGCTCTCCTTCGACAGGTATTGTCAATTGCCCCAACGCCCAGGACTGCTGCATCGCCCGCCCACTACCCCCTCCTCCGAGGAAGCCGAAGATGATCTACCTCAATCATCCCAAGACACCACCCTAACCGCCCTCGCTCAACTCGGTGCCTTGCGACTCAATGCTCGTCGCTGCATGATTTCCCTCTTCGACCGTCATACTCAGTATATTCTCGCCGAAGCCACCCGTACCCTCAGCCTTCAGGATGATCGCATCCACAAGGATGGAGATGCTCTTTGGCTGGGGAGCAGTGCCATCCAGAAGTGTGATGGTGTCTGCCACTATGTCTGCGACTATGAACAATTAAACGCCGGTGAAGAGTCCCTGAGCAACGGAGGGGGCCCGTTTGCGCTAGTCATTCCCGACATGACTAAGGACGATCGAACCAAGAACCGCGGTTACGTCGTGAACGCCCCGTTTCTCCGCTTCTACGCCGGCGTGCCTATCCTGAGTCGTCGCGGCATCGTGATTGGCGCTTTTGCTGTCAGTGACGGGCAGACGCGACCGGGCCTCGACGAACTGGAATTACGCTTTATGAAGGACACGGCCGCCGCAATCATGAACCATCTGGAGATGGTACGTTCTCAGCAACAGAACCTGCGCGGAGCCAACATGATTGCCGGTCTGGGGCGCTTTCTCGAAGGGGGACTGTCCTTGCCTCTCGGGCTGCGCAGCAAGAGTACCGACAACCGGGACCTTGCAGACAAACAGTTGCACTTGCGCTGGAACCATGCTACACGGGCCCCGGGGTTTTCGTCGCCTCGGGACCCTCGTGAACGCCGGGATTCGCGAGAATCGAAGGAGCAGAGGGAATTGAAAGAGCCGAGCGCGCCCAAGGAGGCGTCGTCGCCTTCAGGTTTGTATCCTAACAAGTAAATTCGCAGGACATCGCTGACTCGGAAACAGGGTACGAAGGAAGCCGCTCTGCGGATAATGCAACAAGCAAAAAGAGCCCCTTGACCAAGACACTATCGACCGGCACCCGAGAAATCCTCAATCGTGCGGCGCACGCCCTACGCGAATCCTTGGATGTCGAGGGAGTGGTATTTTTTGACGCCAGTGTGCGCTCGTATGGCGGGCTCATGCAGAGCGGAGAGGCCCGTCATTCCGATTTAGAGATCAGTACTACTTCCGGCTCGGGCGAGTCTGGTAGCGACAGCGAACACTCCACCATCGGTCATTCGTCCACCGAGACGGACGAGTCGGCGCTTTGTGAGGTTCTCAGTCTTTCTACCGACCCGGAGGATGCGAGCTTTCCGGTCGGGTCCTTCCACGAAAGCTATCTGCGGTCGCTTCTGCACCATCATCCCCGCGGTGGGATTTTCAATATCGACGAAAATGGATGGGTCTCGTCTAGCGAAGGTAGCGATGGGGCGACAGGGAGTGCACTGAGTCGCGATATTGTTTATCGGCGTCGTGAGGCCACACAGGGCGGGAAGAGTGGTCTCCGAAGCAAGCGGCAAAAGCTCACCTCCCGCGATGAGTGTAAGGCTTTGCACAAGGTCTTTCCTCAAGCACGGAGTGTCATTCTGTTCCCAGTCTGGGATTCGCGACGCAATCGATGGTTTTCAGGGTTGTTTGCGTGGACGACCTCTCCGCGGGCTTTCAGCTCCCGCGGCGAATTGGCTTACCTGTATGCCTTTACCAACAGCATCATGGCCGAGATCCATCGGTTGGATGTCGAGCTCGCCAACAAGGCGAATCGGACGCTGGTAAGCAGCATCTCACACGAGCTGCGTAGTCCCTTGCACGGTATTCTCGGCAGCACCGAGCTGCTGACCGATTCCAGCATGACGCCCCCGCAGGTTGCTCTCGTGCAAACCATCGAGAACTGCGGTCGCTCGTTACTCGACATTATTAACAACATGCTGGATTTTGCGAAGATCAACCAGTTCACCCGCAAGTCCCGATCTGGGCGGTTGAAGGCAGGACCGGCCTTGGCCCGACGACAGGCGAACTCCGGGCGAGCACTGGCGAAGAAGCGACCGAGCGAAGGCATTGTCAACCTCATCACCGATGTTCAACTCGACTCGGTTCTCGAGGAGGTCATGGACACGGTCTTTGCGGGTCACTGCTTTGCCACCACCACCGGGTTCCTGGCTCAAGGGGGTCCTGTACTGACCGATCAAGACAAGGATGGTGACTATCTAATGGGCAATACTCCGCAGAAACCGCGGACAAACGAGCCTTTGACGGTCATTTATGATGTGGAACCAGGAATGACGTGGCTCTTCGAAACACAGGCAGGTGTATGGAGACGGATTCTGATGAACATTTTCGGCAATGCCTTGAAGTACACACGGTCCGGTCACATTGTGGTCTCTCTAAAATCAGCCAATGCTGCTGGTACCAAGCCCAAGCGGATACCATTTACTGATCCCTTCAAGCACGAGGTGGCTGGGATCGTCCTCAGCGTGAAGGATACCGGACAAGGCATTGACAAAGAGTACCTCAAAAGCAACATCTTCAAGCCGTTTTCCCAGGAGGATCCTCTGTCTCCCGGAAGCGGCTTGGGACTTAGCATCGTGTATCAGGCGGTGCAGACCATGGGAGGAAAAATCGATATCAATTCCACTCGGGGAATGGGTACGGAGGTAACGGTGAGTGTTGATCTGCTGCGGAGCCCGAGCCTGGCTCCCAGTAGTGATCGAGAGGCGCGCACAATTCACAGAGCGCAGCAATTCTCTCGGGGGAAGTCGATTGGGTTGCTTGGGTTCAATGGGCCCGAGAGGGCGAAGGACGAGGGGCTTGCTCTGTTGCGGACCTCGCTCAGTAGCATTTGTCAAGACCACCTTGGCATGCAAGTCGGCATGGTCTCGTGGGATTCGAGTGATGCGCCGCTCTACGACGTCTACCTGGTGCAGCATTCGGACTTCAGTCGCGTCGATAGCATCTGGGCCAGTATGGCGGGCAAGGCCTTGACCACCGGGCAGGAGCCCAAGGGACGACCACCCGTAGTCGTCGTATGTCCCACTCCACAGGAGGCCCAGAAGATGGCCGCCACCGGTTACCGTAGCCCCTCGTCTGCCATCTATGAGTTTGTCAGCCAGCCGTGCGGACCGACCAAGATCGCGACGGCGGTAATGACCTGCATTCAGCGGCGCGAGCAGCAGCAGACGCAGTCGGTGACGGCCAAAATGGATGCCACGCTGGAGGAGGAACCCGGTACGCAGCCAACCAAGTTCACCGCGGCCTATCACGCCTCCACCACAGACGTACAGACTAAGACATCGTCAGGTATGGACATTGCGCTGACCACCTCCACCACCATGGTCTCGACGACCACATCCAGCAAGGGGGATTCAGTGACCAAGATCTTAGCGATCGAGACGACGAAACGAGCGCCTGCGGTCCTCCTTGTGGATGACAACGAGGTGAATTTGAAATTGCTGGTTGCCTTCATGAAGAAAGCGAAACTGTCGTATTTCACGGCAACCAACGGCTTGGAAGCCCTGGAGGTATTCAAGGCCAATGCCGGACTGATTCAGATCATTCTCATGGGTAAGTACATTCTTGCGTTGGGCGTTTGACCTGCGTGCTAACGTCGCCATAGATATTTCCATGCCGGTCATGGATGGTCTCGAGTCCACACGGCAGATCCGTCTCTTCGAGAAAGCACAGCAAGAATTTAGTCCGACGAGCATGCCATCGGCCAAGCCCGCAGTGATTATTGCTCTGACCGGTCTGGGCAGTGCTACTGTCCGCCACGAAGCCCTCACTCACGGGGTGGACCTCTTCTTGTCCAAGCCGGTTCGGTTCCAGGAGCTGATCAAGCACATCGGCGAACTTGTTCATTGACCTTCTCCACCCTGCCTTTTCTTCACTTCTTCGACGTAAAAGTTCCCACATACCCCTTTTTGTATTGATGCGACGATTTCTGGGTGATGTATATATACGTGTGACGAGCATGATCTGGAAGGCGCATAAGAGACTTCCTTTGATAATAGATATATACCAATATATGTCATATACCCTGGCTTGAACCTCACGTATACGCAGGTTGTGGAGTTTATGACGGATGATCGTCAGACCATTTACGGATGCAGAATCTAATACTCAGATTCACAAGGGTGCCCCGTCCCCCCGCTCGCTCTCGAGCAGTGATGTTAGTCCGCTGAATGTACAGTAAGTACTATGTACATGCTTTCTCGGCTCCACATTGCCTCTTTGACTGGCACCCTAAGCCAGTTCTCTCTCGCATTATCAGAATGACCTCAGTGTCTTCCTGTTGCGGACCTACTGGAACTAATGCCAGTACCTAGATTTAACAATGAACCTGCTTGTGGGATTGTGAGCACCGTACAACACAGGGATGCTCGATGGACAATATTGCACTCTATGCTAGTCTAGACAAATTGTCCATAACTTTCACCCAGCACGCAAACGCCGATGGCCGATTCCTAAATAACTTGAAGGCCTAGACGACTTACTTTAATCCAACCCACACATCGACCCGACTGCAACATGTTGCCTGCTCTCGCTTAACGTATCCCGGCCTCATCGGCGATAGCACAGCCTATACTACCGCCACCGGGCCTTAACGCCGAAAGCCGACGGCCTCTACTCGACATCAACACATACCGATCAAGCCCCCAGCGCTCTCTATCTAGGGTCCCTTCTGAAGAGCGATAACTTTCATTGGATCCGCAGGTCGCCTCGAACTCTCGCCAAAGACCGACGCACAAACTCGCCATCGAGGCAGCAGATGGCGTACCCCGGAGACACCCCTTTATATCTATGATGCTCAGCCAGCTTTGTTGTCGGGCTATCGCTTATCGAACCTGCGATGCTTGCCCAGCCCCGCAATGTCCCTCACCTCCAGCACTAAAGCCCCGGTCGACCATGTCCAGACCCCCGAGGAAGATGGCATCGTCCGTTCCCGGCCTGGCAAGGCCACGAAGGAAGAACGTCGCATCCTCCACCGCGTGGACCGCCGGTTGATTGTCATGTTGGGGTTGCTGCATACGGTCTCCCTGATCGATCGCGGGAATCTGGGGACCGCGTCGGTGGCCGGCATGACCAAGCAGTTGCATCTGATTGGGATGAGATATGTGCGTTCAGTCCCTTCGGGTTGTTCTCTGATGATCAGGGGAGAGGGGTGAGACTAATCTGCTTGATTGTTGCGGCAGAGCATCATCGCCGTCGCGTTCTTCCCGCCGTACATCTGCTTCCAGGCGTTGGGGCCGGTCTTGGTCCGGAAGCTGGGGCCGGTGGCGTATATCTCGGGCGTGTGTTTTGTGTGGGGGGCTGTGATGGTGTGTTTGTCCTTCTCCAGTTATCGCTCTGGTAAATACTGAGGAAAGTGTAGTTGGCGGCGGGCTTTGTCAAAGACTGGACCCAGCTGGTCGGCATTCGGATCGTTATCGGCGCCCTGGAGGCGGGCTTCTTCCCCGGAGCGGTATACCTGATTTCGACGTGGTACACGCGGTTTGAGATCCAGAAACGGTACGCCTTGTTCTATCTGCTGGGATGTGTGGCGTCAGCCTTCACGGGATTGCTGTCGTATGGGATCACCTTCATGGTTAGCAGCTCTTCTAACCCCCCAAGCCTGGATAGACCCATCTGACATGAGATAGAACGGCCTAGGAGGGCTGACCGCCTGGCGCTGGATCTTCGTGATCCAAGGCCTCATCACCTGCGTCCTGGCCGCGATCGCCTACTTCGTGTTGATCGACTTCCCCGACCGCATGCTGACCCAGCGCAACCGCTTCCTCTCGCCGCGCGAGTACGAGCTCGTGATCCGGCGCATCGATGCGGATCGCTCCGACGCCGCCCTCGAGCCGTTCAACCTCCGCAAATACCTGGCCGCCGGCTTCGACATCCATATCTGGGGCTTCGGGCTGATCTACTTCTGCAGTACGACCACTGCGTATGCTCTGTCGTACTTCCTGCCGATCATCTACCAGAAGGGCATGGGGTTCTCGACGGGCGTGTCGCTGTGTCTGTTTGCGCCGCCGTACGCGGCCGCGGGGATTGTGATGATGGCGACCTCGTGGGTTGGGGATCGCTATCGGATTCGCGGGCCGATCATTGTGTTTAACTCGGTGCTGAGTTTGATTGGGTTGCCGTTGATGGTATTTGCCCCTATCCCCTCTACCGTCCGTGTATGCATGACTGGTGGTGATGGTGGTGTTAATGTAGTGGATTAGGGCTTCACGACGGGCGTGGCGCCCCGCCTCGTGGGATGCTTCTTCACCACCATCGGCGCGAATGGGAATATCCCAGCCGCGATGGCGTATCAGGTTAGTCGTTGTCGTTGCCCTTGCATACTATCCACGTACAGTAGCTAATCTGGCAACCTGCAAGGCAAACAATGTGCGCGGCCAGTGGAAGCGCGCCATCTGCAGCGCCATCTTCGTGGGACTCGGGGCGTCCGGCGGGATGACGGGGTCGCTCGTGTATCGCTCGCAGGATGCGCCGGAGTACCGGCCGGGCATTCTGGTCAGTATCGGTCTGACGTGTTTGTCCATTGTGTTGGTGGGTTTGCTGTCGCTGCGACTGCATTATTTGAATAAGAAGGTGGATAAGGGGGAGTTGGTGATTGGGGGGTTGCGCGGGTTCAAGTATACGCTCTAGCTATCGCCGTCACCGCAGAACATATGATATTCAGTATACTTGCAGAATAGTCTCACTCTAATCTATGACCCAAGCACTAAGCCAGCCCCTCCGCAAGAAACCCTCTAACCACCCCCCCAACATCTTCCACATCATCCACGTGCGGAAAATGCCCCGTCCCCTCCACGACGTACTCCCGCAACCACCGCCCATCCACCTCCTTCCGGACAAACGCCGCATGCGCCGTCACGTCGCTCTTGCGCAAGCTTTTCCGTTCGCTTTCGAAATCGCCCTCCTGGCTTTGCAGGTCCAGCAACTGCACTGGCTTTTCGCCCGTTGCTACCAATTGGTCGTTGTGGCGGTTGAGGGCGTGCAGGATCTGGGCGAATCGTCCATCGACCGTCCCGTAGTAATGCGACATCCGGATCAGATATGCAAAGTCCAGGCGGGAGTAGGTGTCCTGCACCGCGGCGATGGTTTGGGGGCTGGTGTGCGGGCCGAAACACCGGGCGATGCGGTCCGGCATTGTGCTGCGGTAGTATTCGGCGTGGGTGGCGAGGATGTTCAGGTCCAAGGGGGTTGGGGGTGTGGTGCCGGCGTAGGGGCCGTCGAGAAGGATTATCTCTGCGACTTTAAGGGATGAAGGTGCCGTGGTGAGAGTATGGGCGAAGAGGTCGAGAACGGTCAGGGTGCCCATGCTGTGGCCGTAGAGGGTGGTGGGAATTGGAGTTGGATTCGGGCTGGGGGCTGAGGATGGGAAGAGGGTAGAGAGCACTTCTGCATGCAGCTGGACGAGAAGTTCGCTGACTCCTCCAGCCTCTGGGGTGGGCAAAATGGCAGTCGGCGACTCGCCATGGCCCGGGAGGTCGACAGCGACATAGACGTGGCCTGCGCTGAGGGTGCGGCCGTGGGCGTGGAGGTGGGTGATCAGGGGGATGTAGTCGCTGGCTGGACAGCCGAATCCGGGGATCAAGAGGGAGATCTGCTGGAGCGAGGCCTGTGGACTCGTAGCATTGCTGAGGTAGGAGAGGCCGGTGGACGGCGAGGTCTGGCGCTGAAGCTGTAGAGGCTCAGTGGTCATTTTGATGATGTTGACGTATGGATTGGATGGCACGGGATGGCACCATGCAGGTGAGAAGCTTGATATTTATCTCAAGTAAAGTAAAGCTGACCCTGAAGAAATTGAATTAGTGAGCATGACTAAAAGAAACAAAAGTATTGCGAATCATTCTTGATTTATAAAGCTGACAATTAATGATGAAAACAGGTGAAACTAAAGGCACGGGAGCTACAGTTAGGGCTCCTTCGTATAATCGCCATTCCGTACACCGACTCAACTCAACCCCCCTCAACGCCTCAACACCGTATCCCAAAACAGAGTAGTCCAATCCACCATTTTCAATGCCCGGAAATAGGGACCCACGGAGCTCGACACTTGGGACATGCTCTCGCCCGGCCATTGGGCTCGACGCTGTCAAGCCAGGCATTGATACACTCCGAGTGGTAATTCTGCTTGCATAGTGCCGGGCATGGGGTCACATCCTGGATATTCTCGTCCATGGCTAGAAAGCAGATCGGACACTCCGCCTCCTCGTCAATATGTTTAGGCCACGGCGCGCTACACCGGGGACAAGGCATGTTTTGATTGGCATACGTCTCGCGGCACTGGTCGACCCAGCGTTCTACACAAGCCTCGTGAAGCCACGCTCCACATTGCTGGGGACAGCAGAACTCGTAGTCCACGATGGGCTTTCCACAGACCGCGCAATTCTCTTGAAAGATGTCCTGCCAGCACATCGGACACGGGCAGGGCTCTTGGTTCTCGGAACTTCTGGGGGAGCGCCAGTCTGAGACACAGTTGTCATGATACAGTGTGCCACATCCGCCGGGGCACGAGAATCCGTCCTTGTGCATGTGTTTGTGACAGATCAGACAGCAGTCGTCCTTGATCTTGAGGTTGTCCAAGGCTGCGTTGATGTTGTGGTAGGGAGGCGGCCGGTCTGCGTTGGTGGTGCTTGCATACACTGGAACGCCCCCGGAGACATCACTGGACAACATGGAGTCTGGATCGGCGTCTTCACTGTCAGAGTCTGGATCGGAGGCTTCATCGTGACCCAGGGATTCCACGTCGCTGCCGAGTTCGTCCCGGTCCACGACTTTGAATCCCGCGGCACCATGGGTGCTGAAGCCAGCGCTGAAGCCGCTTTCATACCCACTCTCGTTTAGTACGGGGCAGATCTGAACCCGGGCTTCAAGACTGGACTTGCAGGCACCAGCGGTGCTGAAGGTAGCGCTGAACCCGCTTCCACCACAGTTCTCATTGATTACGGGGGAGAGGGTCTGAACCCGGTCCGTGACTTTTGACCCGCAGACAGCAGCGGTGCTGGAGGTAGCGCTGAATCCACTGTTCCCTGAATTCTCGCTGCCTACGGAGGAAGGCTGATCCGAGGCTTGAAGGGCACCCGACATCAGAGGCTCATAGGACCCGGCACGAGCGCTTGACCCTGTAGCTTGACGAGATGAAGCGATAGAGCTTGACAACTTTCGTCCATAAATTTTCGAGGGGCCTGCGTGGGTACGCCCAACCGCCGAAGAGGTGGGCACATTCCTCACCTGAGACCCCGAAGAGACGGGTTTGGGCGGATTGGCCGGGGTGTGAGCATAAACCCGATGCCCTCCCTGGCCCTCTCTTTCCTGTTTCCCTGCTTGATGTCCCTCTGCGGTGCGAACTGGTTGTTTCCCTTTGGCGATCGATGAAGGCTCTTGCCGACGGTCTGAGTTGTCCTTTGCACGACTGCTCACGGTGGACTTGCGATGGTCATGACCGCGCTTTCCAGCTAACCATCCGAGAAAGCCTCCCGCTGGGGCTGGGGCACGAGGAAACTCAGCCGACTTGTTCTTGGAGGAGCTTTTTGGGTGTTTCTCGGGCATGATGGTGGTGGTGGTGGTGGCGAGATGTCGAACATGCGTGTCTCAAGCTATCCATGTTATTTCTGGACCCCAAGCACGACCTTTATACTAGAACCGCAAAGATTTGACGAAAGCACAACGAACAAAGCGGCTCACTCCACCGGAGAAGACCACTATGCGTATCGACGAGCTCCATCATGACTGCAAGAGGACGAGCAAGCAAGCAAGTGGAATGTGCCGGTTGGTGAGGACAGAATCCACCCACTCGTTGTCCCCGAGCCTTTGTATAAATACATCGGTTTGTTCTCTTATGGAATAGCCCTGAGAGAACTCCCCCCAAAACTCCACACATATTGGCACCCTTCTTTCAACCTTGAACAAACCACGCAGTATGGCTCAACGTCTAGTCCCCGACATCGACGAGACCTTGCCCGTCCACGACGCCGAAGCCCTGGACCACCAGGCCCTGTCGCTCGTCATGGACCGGGCCTTCAATCGCATGGGCCACTGGTATTCGCACCTCATCTACACCTACGACTACCAGGTGAACATCCTCCGGACCAATTGGTCGGATCCAGGGCTGCGCCACACTGTCCTCGACCTAGTGACGCGCTCGCGAAATCACGGCCTCGAGGTGCTACATGGGGACATCCAGGACTGGGCCGCGGTCTTGTATCGAATGGAGCGCGCGCTCGCCGGCATCCTGACGGAGCTCCTCCTGAACCACGTTAGCGACGAGGAGCGCGAGGATCCGCTCATGTGCCGGTTCCGTGAGGTGTTCGCTACTGGCAACGTCACGGCGGGCACCTCCTTTGCCACCTCCTCCACCTCGGTCGATATGGAGATTCTGCGCCAGTTGGAGGACATCGGTGAGCACGAACGCGCCCGGCATCGCCGCCGGGCTCGCGCGACGAACCTGATGATGTGCATTGCGCTCGCCAAGCCTATCCAGATCCTGCGCTTGATGATTCCCCATCCCGCCAAGACCATGATGGAGCTCTGGAGCAATCCGTTCGAGTATCCGGCGTGGCAGAACCACTGGCCGTGGGGTGGGGATAGTTTCTTCCCCCCCAGAGACCCGGTCCCACCCCCCACGGAGGCGGATGCTGCCCCCGTAGCTAGCCAGCGAGCGATCGGGCCGGATGACATATGTCCCATCTGTCGGGGCGAGTTCCAGACCGAAGACCAGGAGGCGGCGTTGCCCGTCGTCTGGTGTGCGCGCTGCGGGAATAACTTCCACGGCGCCTGTCTGTCGACCTGGCTGGACGGCGCGGGCTCGTGTCCAATGTGTTTTTGCTTGTGGCAGACGGGGCGGACTGGGTAGATTGAAGTTCAGTCGGCCTGCCTTACGCAGGATCTTCTTATCGAAATAGAATCGATTTCTAAGGTTATTATTATCCCATTGCTTTTTTTTTCCCTAGCTCTGTATCGCGAACCCGGTGATCCGGTATTGCATCTCTCACTGTGTCAACCAGGATCTTCCAGACCGTTCATTAGACCAGAACGCCAAACCACACCCAGTTGCTGATTGCTGTCCAGCTAAATCAAAGGCTTCCTCCCATAGGCAACCTTACTATATGATCATCAGCCCGGGCTTTCCCACTCCAAACCACAGCACTTACATCTTAGTATATGAATGCAAGGACCGATCCTTCAACTGCTGGCGCACCAAGCCTTGCATGAGCTTCGTCCGTTCCTGACTCCAGCCCAGCACCTGCGTACACAGCCGCAGGCCATACGCCTCGACGGCCTTCTCGACCATGGCGGCCTGCACGCGCCCGATCTCGCGCAGCCGGGGGTCCTGCGGCCACGGCGAGAAGGGCAGGATGTAGGTCTGCTCGTGCACGTCCTCGAAGCCGTGCGCGATCAGCCACGGCTTCAGGTCGATGTAGATGTTCAGCTCCCGGCCGATCATGTGCGCCGCGTCGTTCAGCGACATCAGGTACTCCATCAGCGGCGAGTCCATCCTGAGCGTGCCGTCGTCGCTCCACGCCCAGACGGCGCTCTCTTGGAGTTCGAGGTATCCACCTGGTTTGAGGTGGTCGTAGGCTTGTCGAATCAGACGGTGCCAGTCGACGACGCAGCTGTTGAGGGGTGGTTAGTGTAGGGGTTGAGGTTGGGTGAGGGGGAGAGGACGGGGGAGAGGGAGAGGGAGGGCACAGTACCCTGCTAGGTTGCGGGAGTGGATGAAGTCGTAGGCATTCATCTTCTCGAGCCAGTCGGATTCGTAGTCGTCGACGAAGAAATCCACGTTGGGGGGCACCCAGGCGGGCTGGATGGGGCTGAGATCATTGCCCACTACGACGGCACCGGGGTACTGGCTGGCGCACACTTAGTAGGTGTTGCTTGCGTAGACATGTTACCTGAGGATAGAGTCATACTCGGCGAAATCGATGGCCCAGTTGCCGGTCCCTGTGCCCAGGTCGAGCACTTTCTGGGGGTTCTTGATGGGGGCGTTGAACAACTCGCCTCCCATTAGCATGAGGTAGCTTGCCATTACCGGTCAGCTCATGCTGCAAGAGGGAACTAGTGCAGGCTAAGGAAGCTCACATGTGATGAGTCTGGTGGTGTTAGTACTTATTACAGAGACAACAAGCAAGGGAAATAGATACCAAGTCCAGCCTTTCTTGTTCCTCTTCGTCATTCGGCATCCTGAGCTGGTTAATACTGTCCTATGCGTCCCGAGGGGGATGGATTACATGTAGTTTCCCTAGGGTCGCATACCCTTATTAGACCTTGGAACACTTGCTGTAAGAGGTTAACCTACCGAGCGAAAGCTGGCGTATCGACGACCATTCTCATACTGGTAGTCGAGGATACTGGAAGAGAGCGAATAGGAATCCATGAAGTCCTCATCATAGTCACTGCGCATCGACTGCGGGAGGGGGCAAATGCAGAGTCCACAGTCAACCAAGGACCAAGGAACCAAGGATCACCCAGTGGACACTCCGGGTCGGGCCGCAGACACAAAACCTAACTTACCTCGGTGTCGGTAACAAAGTCTTCGTGCTCTGGAGGGGGACTCTCCGGTCCAAGAGGCGACAAAGGAGCGTGGGGCGGTTGGTGGCCGTGGGGCTCCGGGTCCTGTGCGTGCCCATAAGAGTTGCTCCCAGTGGGATGGGGGAACTGATGTTGCGGTTGCTGCTGTTCAGCGGTAGTCATGATGAGGGTGAAGATGTAAAGATGATGTGATTGAGGGTAACGTTAAGTGAGAAGAAGAAGCAACAAGTGCGACTCTCCCCCCTAGAAATATGTGGAGAGAATCATGGGAACGCCATCCGACGAGCCGACGGAAATTGACAGGTGCAGATCGCAGGATTGCACCAGTCTCTCCCAGTCGATCCCCGTTTATCCCTCGTTCGATTGTGTGACCTGAGTGTCGTCATTGCGATGAGCCTATAGCAAGCAGCAAGAGGCAGGGATCGGACAGTTCAGTTGCCAAGAGTGATCGCTTAGCCTCCTGCGTCAGCCTGTCATCAGATGCAGATCCCTACAGGAAGGGCCAGGAAGGGATGGAATGCGTGGGTCCAACGGTGCCAGTCATTAAGCCATACAAAATGTGAGCTGTCAATCTCGCTAAGTCTGTTAGACAGTGGACTATTGAAGTCAAAGTGGGCTAGGCTGGCACGCTTAGCTGTCCCACTGCGGTTAGGGCACTCCAGGCACTCAATCCAATATGAAGACACAACCAAAACTGCGGTCAACGCGTCCTATGCTATCGGTATATCTATATACAAAGCCAACATGGTCGTTTCCCTCCAATCCTGTCACCCTGTCACCCTGTCACCCGCTCAGTGACGCTTGGGACGCGCCAGATGACGACGCATGGCATCCCGGCGCGTGGCGGCGGCTGAAATGGTGATGGTCTCCGAGATCCCGGCGGTGCAGACCGTGCCCGCAGCCACACTCTGGGACGCATCCCATTCCCCATTGACACAGCGCTGGAACGCACTGCCCCCGTTGCAGTACCAGTAGCCCTCCTGGCTGCAGGCGCCACTCAAAACCCCAGAGGTCGTCGACGAAGCCGAGCTCGAAGCCGCAGTGGCCACCGAAGTCGTGGCCGTCGTGGCAGGTTCAGAGGAACCCTCAGTAGCCGAGTTGTCGACTGAAGCACCAGCCTTGACTTGACCGGGCTGGAAGCTGATGTCGTTACCGGCGGTTGGCTGGGCAGAGATCGCGGTAGTCGCACTGGTCTCGGAAGGAGCTGGAGACGCGGTCGGAACAGCCTCCGCGGTCGTACTCACGATGGCGGCAGCAGTGGTGGCCTCAGCAGGGGTGCCAGCAGAAGTGGTGGTGGTATCGGCAGCAGCGGCCGCGGTCGCAGTGCTACCAGCAGTGTACAGCGCGGGGCCGGGGATTGTATACGTGCTCAACGTGTTCCAGATGTCAACGTAGATCCCGGGATCGGTCTCCTTGTACAGAGCAGTGCCCAGGGTGCCACTTGGGGTCGCTGTCTCGCTGCCCGTGACTTCCAGATTGATGCACTGGGGGTAGTTCTGGGCTCCGTCCAGGTTCTCGGCGCTGTGTAGGGCAATGATCTCGTGTCGCAAAACATAGTATCCCGGGGCAATATCGCTGGGAATGGTGATGTTGCGGCTGTAGCTATCTTCAATGAGCTCATCGGTCGCCCAAGTTCCAGGCACGTCCGTGTCATCGATCAGACCGCCCGCATCGATCTTGAAGAATTCCAAAGTGGTCTTGTCCACCTCGGCACAAGAGCCGTGGCAATTGGCCATATACGTGATGACGGGGCCGTGATGGTCGGTAGGCCAGGTGTTCCAGGTCATCTGCACCCAGCCTCCGGGCGCGACAGGGGCCGACAACGCGCCGGGCGCAGACCCCTTGTGGCAGATGATGTTCACGCTCTCGTAGTCGGAGGGTGACACATAGCCATCATCCGTGGCATTGGTGGACCAGGCGATCAACTCGGGCGGGTCGGATTCGAAGTAATAGGTGTCGACCAAGTACCCTCCATAGGTGGTACCGTCCACCTCGATGCTCGAGACATAGCCATGACCAGCGACCAGCGAGACCGAGCCCAGTAGAAGAGTGGCAATCTTGGAAAGAGACATATTGGCAGAAGCACCGCACAGCGGTGTGTTGGATAGAAAGTAGAAAGAAAGGAAGGGACTTCAATCAATGAAGCCCAGAAAGGAACGAAGGAGCGACTGAGGAAAGGAAAGTCAGTTTTGCTGGATAGCCCTCCGATGCCAGAGGGAATTTGCGTCTATTTAAGCATGTGGGAGCAGGCATGCTGTCGGATTGGAGATGACGAGGGTCGACAAAGAATTGAGCATCCCAAGCGAGATGGGCAAACCTTGTGCCTGGTGGCAACTGAGGCGAATGAGCCAGTGGTTTGGGGTCTTGAGCAGCCGTGAAGGTTCAAGGCTGTCTAGTTTGTTTCACCAATTCTGAGACAGAGCACCCTCCTTCGTTACTTGACGCTGTGGTGGGCCTGCGGAAACACGCCATCAGGACGCCAGTGGCTTTAGCGAGATTGAGGTGGGGCCTCACGAGGGAGAAGAGTTGCGAAGGTGTGGAAAGATGTGGAAAAAATGAGGGAGAAGGGAACGAAAATACTAAGATTATCTGGCAGAATATCTGCGTTGACATTCAGAAAGCATGTGATACATCGTGGTGTTGATATTGATAAGGGATGGAGTACCTCCGCCGATGAAGAGGAGAGAGAGGACAGCGCACGTGATCGTGGCTCGCGGGAACAAGGGCCCGGAGCGGAAGAATCCCGTTCCGTCTAGTCACTTCAACATGAGTCATTTTGCTCGCAGATGAAAGGAGTAGTACTCATTCAACTTGACAGTCACAAAACGATATAGTACCCCGGCTCTCGCCAATAGACGATTTGCGTTGAGAGCAATGATAGTGTCTCCTGTTGGTCGCATATCGTCTTGCCTTCGCTATTCCTCGGAATACTTGGTATTTAACAAGTTATCTGAAACTGAAGGCAGAATACATGCATAACTGTCCGGTTATGTCTTCACTCCCCCCACAAACCGCAGTCGATGATCTCCTTCGCGGTCCACGATCGATGGTCCTGAGTTCGTCGTCGTATGCTGGACCCAGAACCTTACTATATACTCATCGCCTTTCTGCCCAGTAGGCTCGTTCGCTGGATGGGCTCGGATTCATACCGATATCAATCAGGGTTGTTCCGAGAGAGCGTTATCCGATACGAAGATAATCCTGATAAGCGCCACAAATGACGGCGAATCGACTGCTATCTCCCCCAGAATGGTATCGTTCGCGACCGCGACGCCCGCGGACTCGGAATGTACCGATTGCGCTATATGAAACCCAGACTGGGCCCCCTCAACATATCAACATGAAGTAGATCCGCTCATGCCTTGCGACGTGCTGCGATGGAGGAATTATCGCCCCGCCAAAAGCCATACCCGTCGGTAACAACGAAAATGGGGAAGAGTGTTGAGTCCGTACAGGACCAGCAAGATGTGGAGGTCGGCGTGGTGGCAGCCCTGGCTCAGGAAGGGCCGGGCCTCAAGCGCAATTTCAACATGATCAGCATCATGGCCCTGGGGTTCAATACATCCAACAGTTGGATTGCTATTGCAGGAAGCTTGCCCCTGGCTATTGCAGGAGGTGGCACGGTGACCTTACTGTACGGTATCTTGGTGGTGTGCTTTGCAATGTCCTGCACTGGGCTCAGCCTGGCTGAGCTGGCAGCTGTGTATCCATCGGCCGGTGGCCAATATCACTTCACTTCCATGTTGGCTCCGGCCCAGCATCGCCGGTGGTTGTCCTACCTGTGTGGAATCATCGGTATCTGGTCATGGGTGGCCATCGCTGCTTCGCTATCATTGATGATCACGGAGGGTATCATGGCTTTGGTTCTCACCTATCACCCTACCTTCCTTCCACAATCCTGGCATTACTTTCTTATGTATCAAGCGGTGCATATCATTGCCATGGCATACAATATTGGGCTACTGTCCAAGACGGTCTGGGTCTATGACTGGGCCTGTGAGTTTTTGACCCATTGCTCTTTGAAGGCAACATCTTAATGGCGATGACAGTCTACTTCTCTCTGGCCCTGTTTGTTATCACCACAATCGTCTGCCCCGCACGCTCGGCCGTTCATGCAGACTCGTCCACCGTCTGGGGTCATTTCGTCAACTCCTCAAATGGGTACTGGTCGAATGGAATTGTATTCCTGACCGGTCTGTCGACCCCGTCCTACATGCTCATCGGTCTGGACGCCACGATGCACATGGCAGACGAGTGTCTTGAACCAGCACGGACAATCCCGCGTGCCATCTTGTCGACCGTGGGCATTGGTTCTGTGGCTGCCTTCGCGTTTGCCTTGGCCATGTGTTACAGCGTGACCGACTTTGACAGTCTGGTTGATGCAGCCTCGGGGTAAGGCGGGATGTTTCAGTTCAGTGTCTTTGTGCTAAGCTCAAATCTGACAGGTTCCCAATCTACGATCTATGGGCACAGGCAAGCCGATCGACAACCTGCGCGACGGTCTTCCTCGTCGTGATGATTTCGATCATGTTTGTTTCAGCTTGCGCGATTCATTCTACTGCCTCACGGTTGACCTGGTCGTTTGCATGCGACAACGGAATCTTTCTCTCGGGGTACTTGAAGCAGCTGGACTACCGACACGGCGTTCCTCTGTACGCTCTAGGCCTCAATTTTATTGCCTGCTTCGTGATTGGATTCCTCTACCTTGCGTCTTCTTCCGGTAGGAAACCCCAGAGATCGTCGTGGCCCACAAGCCGGGTCGTGAGTACGAGACTGACTCACCTGCTCTAGTCTTTAATGCGTTTGTCGGAACTGCCAGCATTCTGTCGCAGATTTCCGTCACGCTACCAATCGCATTGCTCATCTGGCAGCGTCGGTCGGAGATCTACCTCCCCAGTGGACGCCACTTCGGTCTTTCGTCAGGACTGGGCTACTGTTGCAACATCGTCGCTGTGGTCTATACCATGATCGTCACGATCTTCCTCTGTTTCCCCACATCCTTTCCGCTTACGGGTGGCAATATGAGTGAGTTTGTCGCGGGTTCTTGCCCTCACTAGTCTGATTACTGACGTACGTTGAACACTAGACTATACCGCTCCGGTCCTTGGGGTAATCGCAATCCTAACCGGGCTGAATTGGGTATTCTATGCGCGTAGTCGATACGAGGGTGCTCACGTGGGGTAGCGTACATCGCATCGGTGGACTTTTCCTAGATAATGAACTTATGACGCTGGCGTTGGATCCACTCGGAAAAGCTTGTGCGGTGCTTCTTATTCCACGTAGATTAGAGATAGTGGGCTTTGCCCACCGGGGGTCCGGAATGTCCTTCGGAACGGTTCCTATCGACTACCGTTTCAGATAAGATAAGATTGAGGGGTGAGGGGGGCGTACCTATACCTATATGGATACTGCTACTCTCGTAGACAGAGTCAGCCTCCAAGTCAGCACCAAAACTCAAGTACTTGGCCGGACTTAAGACTCACGCTCTGCCTGTCTTGGGCTTCGAGTATATATTGGCTCCATTTGATCATCTGGAATGAGTTAGATGAAAGGGTCGGGAGAGGCTCTTCCGTATGTTGAGTTGAGTATTTGTGAATAAGTTGACCAGTACACCAAGCTCCTCAAAGTCTCAGACATTCAGCTCTAACTCGAGCTATATGTCCTGGATCCATGATCTGATAAGGGCTTCTTGAGTTCGGGTGTCAATCGGATTGTTTCGGCAGGTCGGCTGCTGCCGGTTTGAAGCCCCGCAAAACCGCAAAACCACAAATGAGGGCCGCCGAAATATCCCCGTTCTCGGATCCGACAGCCCTGCCTTTGCCTGCGAATTGCAGCACTGCAGCATTGCAACATTACAGCATTGTAGCATTGCAACAAGATGCCCGATTATGCAATAGGGGCCGGATACTAGTGATTTATTTGGTCTGACTCTTTCCTCCCGTTCTCCCCTTCGTTCAGTGTCCAAATCTCTTACCACCCAATCTCCCCTCAACCACATCTATCCGTTCATTTGACCTGCCTAACCTGCCACTCAAGCCGCGATTCTTCGGCCTATAAACTATAGAAAGTACACACTCTTTCTTCTCTCCTCTGTTCAGCTCTATACACTGAAGGTATGGTCCAACCGCTACTTCCAGCAATACGAAATCTCACTAATAACGCCTCGTGGCAGACACCATGCTCATCACCCGCGGATTCTCCCTAACGAACTTCGTCATCGCCAGCTCGGCCCTCTGCTTTCAAGTCTTCGTCCTTTATCCCTGGCACCACAAGCTCGAGGACGACTTCAAGGAGCTCAAGAAGGAGCACTTGCGTCTGTTGCAGGAGAATGAGGATAGCCGGGTGAAAGAGCTGAAGAGTATCAAGGAGCACCTCGGTCTTCTCCATCAGAAGGCTCAAGCGTGAGCGACATTGTGAGGCATAGTACGGGCACTTTCGAATGATTCATGCATTACATCAGCGGGATAGAGATAGACTGCATGCATAGAGGAGGACGCGGGATTGTATATACTGCGCGCACGAATCGAACGTCTTCTTGCTCTTTTGCTCGACGGACACCTCCAGATAAAATTGGGTGCAACATACAGTGACTCGGGATCCTAACGGTGATGATCCACTGGAAAAGACCAATCGTGTCAGAACGATATCACATCCAAGCAGGAAACACCATGATTGTCACATTCTGATTAGCTTGCTAACTTGAATACGAATTTCAAACAAGTTCTCGCCCCAACACTACCCCCCTTAGGCTATCAGGCCGATACATTGACAGCTGCGTTGGCAGGGCCCGTGACAGCCGCGTTAGCAGCCGCCTCCAGAGCGTCCCTCGCCGTCCCAGCTGCAGCTCTGTCGGCAGCCTCATTGGCAGCCCCGTTGAGGGTGCCTTTGAGACCCCTCACATTGCGATCCGCCCGCACAAATGCCTTGTAGCTGGGAAACAGCCCCTGGGGATCATACTTCTCCCGGACGTGCAGGAACTTCTGCAAAGCCGTGTCGGTGATCACCCGCGCCTAGACTTGTGTAAGTATCGCATATCAATCGGTGGGAGACAAACGTACGTTGACCTCCTCCCAGTTCGGATCCAGATCCACGACAAACATCCCCACAGCAACAGACAGAGCCCGCTCATACCGTTCTCGGATATGCTGGCGGAGACCGGACTCGCGCTTTGGGTCCGTCCAAATAGTCGCCGTCATCAGATACAGATCCTGGGGCAGGCTCATCACCATCTCGTTCTCGTCGGGCCGCTGGTCGCAGTGGTAGATGTATACGTTGGATTGCCGGGTGGGCAGATCTAGCAGGGCGGGTTTCATGGTTTCCAGCAACTGACCTTTGTTAGTGCATACCCCGATGGAGCCCGTGAGAGAGAGAAGAAGAAGAAGAAGAAGAAGAAGAATATAAGAAGACTGAAGGCCAACTCACCCGAGGTAGCGAGCAACCCGGATCGCTGAAGATACTATTGTTGTGGACGCAAGTGCCCGGCCCAGGACCGGCTTCTCCGGCAGCCAGGACTTCCTCGAAGGTGCACTTCTGGACGGGCTGTTTGTCGAGCATGAAGTCCTGCACCTCGTCGACTTGGTCGTAGGCGCCGAGCATGGTCTGCGCTTCAGACTCTGTGTCAGCGTAGCAATACAGCAGCAACGTGAGGTGCAAGCGGGCCCCCGGGGGGACCTCATCTCCGGTGGCGTCCGCATCGTCCTGCGCGTACGCAATGGCCATATTCAGATCCGTGTGCTCCTTGGGGGTGGTCCGACCGGCCTCGATGGCCCAGGTCAGCAGCGTCTCGTAGTTGTCGTGGTTGATCTCAAATTGCAGGGTCCGTTGCCAGGGAGTCTTGGCGGGGATGGTCTTGCCCCAGAACCGCGTCACAACCCCAAAGAAGCCCAGACCGCTACCGCGTGCGGCCCAGAAGAGGTCGGGGTAGTGTTGGCGGTCCGCAAGGACCGTCTCCCCGGTGGGTAGGACGATCTCCATCCGGGTGACGAAGGTCGCGGCGGCACCAAGACTCCGCATGAAGAACCCTTGTCCGCCCCCGAGAAGATAGCCGGCCATGGCCACGGTCGGAGCATGGCCAATGGGAAAGAAGCGGCCGACTTCGCTCAGCTTCTCGGTTACCTCGCTGATGCGGCAGGACGGCCCAAAGGATATCTGCGTGGTGGCCTCGTCGTAGTCGACGCGTCGGTTGAGGTTGGTGGTGTCGATCAGGATGCCGTCTTGCACGAGATAAGGCGATTGCGCGGCGTGGCCCGATGACCGCACGCTCACGGTGGTTCCAAGCTCGGTGGCTCGATTCAGGGCGTTCTGTACGTCCGCTGGGCTCTCCACGAGATGAATCTCACGGGGATAGCGAGGGCCGGCCGCACTCGGGTTCATCTCGCGACATCGTTCGTACTCGGGGTCCCCGCGGACGAGAACCTTCGAGGAGTACTCGGGGTGTGTGATGTATTCAGGTGGTGCCATTGTGTTGAGATTGATCGAAGCTCGATGCTGTTGAGATGGTATGAGGACTCGAACAGTAGCAGAATTGCAAAGTCATCTATATAGCTTTCCATCTCCATCTTTGACTCTTGACGTCACTAGATGAAGGTGGCTTGATGAAGAGTGGTCAAATCCTATTTTGCAGCATGTGTTCTGGTGTCTATACCAGACGCCATCAACTGGTCGGGAAGAGTAGTATCCATGGTTGGCAGGTTGCGGCATGTGCAGCATGCAAGGGTGAAACTGAAAGCTGGAGAAACTCTGGGATGACCAGGGAAATGGTGCCTTGAACCTGGAAGGTCTTCGTCTGACACCGTCCTGGGCGGGCCCTTTTGACTGTCTGGAATGTCAGAGGCGTGCATGACGGTATCATCGAGGGGTTGTATGACGAAGGATGATCGTTTACAGTAACCTACACAGTAGGCGCCGTGAGCAAGCAGAGTCAGGTGCTTTGCACTGCGGCCAATTCTACTCTGCGATCAAATTATCGCCCTGCTCGCAGTCCTTGATGAGATAACCTTCTCTGCATGCTGAACATCAGTCATTTGTCCGAGCTGCCGCGAACCTGTCAGTTGGTCTTGGAGATTCTCGCCGGATATGACTTCACTTTCCATCAAGCTCGTCTCGGATAGGGAGGGACAATATCGATATTTATGTGGTGTACATGATGAACACTTTGATTCTGCATGAGGTCAGACATCTAAGTTGTCAAGTATTCGAAAGATGATGAAGAAGAAGAAGAAGAAGAAGAAGAAGAAGAAGAAAAAAAAAAGCTCAAGGATGGTTAACCTGATGCTCATTGGCAGCATAAGTTAGGGCTTGCAACATTTAGGAGTGCCGATGTCGGATGCGACCGAGGCAATTTTGATTCTATTCTCGTCCCTGGTGTCAACCATGATCTTCTTCATCTAGTCGCGGCTCCACTTGGCGAAAAAGTCCTGCATCAGTAGCCGAGTCTTTCCGTCACGCTTCGACCCAGAACCAAGGATTTATGACATGTCATAATTTCCATTGCGACCCTTGCTACTGGCTGTTTGCTGGTGATGACGAGCAAGCGACCGTCTTAGGTAGGCAGTTCAGAGCTCCCCCCGCAAGGCTTAATCAAATTTGGGATGGATGAAACCAGTCCTGGTCGGATGTCAACCTTACTCTGATGTCATCTCGCCCTGCTGACGTCTGCTAGAGGACGGGGGACCCGCTCGATGAAGCGGAAAGATGGTCACTGGCTAACGATCTCAATCTCAGACATCGATCTAGAATTGAGTCCTGGTTGATCTGTGTCGGCCAGCTCGAAGCAAGGACGCCTTTTTTGGTCTACCGATGACACTATTCGAGGGCTCGATCGATTCTCGACAATTATCACATGGCTTTCCAGGTGACTGGATTGATGATAATGCAATGCAAGGGCTATCTTTGACTGACAGTCTAGAAATCTTTTCTTTTTCTGCGCCCCGTCAGTCTTGAGCAAACTGCCACATGGTTGACTCGATCGGCGTCAGGGGCTCGTGAAGATGGGGACAGGTCATAATGCGCCGGAGGCCTGAGCGAGATATACTCATTATCTGTTCACCCGTCTCGTATTTTGGACGCGATAGATATCTAAACTCAATTCAGATGTGTGATTGCTCATCCACATTCACCCCGTTGTCGGCCGGGAATGCTCGGCGAATGTAGCAGCTTTGCCGAAGCCGAACCTCCACAGCATGGAGAGCTTCAAACTCCGGTCGGCAGTAGGCAGTAAGTTATCTTGAAACTAATCGTAAAGGAATCTTCTCCGGAGTACTGCTTGTTCTCCAACTGTACTGCCTCCGTGAAAACCAAGGAAAAGGGGGAAGACTAGGTCTTTTAGGTTTCCTTGCAGTCTGCCCCGGGATGGAGATACGAGGGCGAATGCACAAGTCACAATTCACAATCGCCAACAGATGCAGTTCGGCAAACGGGCGCTCCACCTTCCAAGCCTCACCTTCCCGGACTCATCCAGCGACTGCCGATCGAACCATGGGTCAAAGACTTCTCGAAGCTCTAGTTCTTAACTAGTGCTACTGCTCGGACATGAGTGTGCCTGAGGAACTGGGCCGGTCCGGCTCCGATGAACTTCGAAGGTTAATACAATAATACAGTCATAATATCATAAGAGACGGTGTTAAGAGGGCCCCCATTCAGGAGGGAAGGACTCTCAGACAGCGGTGCAGTGGAAACTGAGCTCGTTAGGGCACGCCCCGGCGTGTCGAGTTGCTGGGGACAATGAGAGGACGTCCAACCTGTCGGCGAGGAATCCCGGCCATAAAAATTCTTTATTCCACCACGCCGCATCCACTCCTTGCTAAAAACGATTCGACAAGTGTCGAGGGGGATGCAATGATGCATCGCAATGGGGACTGGAAGGAGCGGTAAGATTAGAAAAGGAGAAGAAATGGCGACGATGAAGTGGGTCTCTTTCCCCCTTCCCGCCCCCTCCGTGAGAACTTGAGAAGCCACCAAACCACACCAAGACCGATCCTGCAGATCCACTTTCCAACCATTGCCGGACACAAATCTGGTGAGTGACAGATGTCAGAAGTCAAATTCATGGCATAACTGCAGTGGATTTCATAGGTGACCGTTTATTATTTCCCAAATCGCCGCCTTCATAACCCTATTTGGGACAGGCTGCTGGTGGTAGCCTGACACCAAGTGGATTTGCCCGGGGATTCACTTACACATCACATTTGCCATGCTCCGCTCACTACGGAGTACACTACTGCACGACAAAAAAAAAGAAATGACGAAGAGAATTGACAGAAGACGGAGGACAGAAGAAAATGGCAAAAGAAGACGAAAATCTCGATTTCGGGGGGGGCCCCGTTCATCGTAAATAGCAGATCGATCGCCCCCTTCTCGATGGACCACCTCGTAGTCAACTTGCTGTTTAAGTCGGTCTGGTCTGTCTGTCTTTCTTTGCTTTTCCTCCGATTAGACTGTCGATTTGCTGGTACTATTGATTGCAAGCAAGAACCCTAGTTCCCCATCTACACATCCAACCATGGTTCTGCAGGGCAAATCATCCAACGTCCCCCGGCATGTTGATCGGAAAGCCCTCTATACCGATCTTGGGGCACGAGTCCACTACTTGCAGCAGTTTCTAGAGTTCAGTGAGGGTCAGTGCTGTCTGGGTCCAATTGCCACTTGAATGCTCCTCCGTGACTAACGAACATCTTGAATAACTAGATGATGTCGCCGCTCTCAACAAGGGATCCAAGTACATCAAGGCGCTGGCGCCTACCCTGGTCGATAAAGTATATGCGAAGCTCCTCGAGAACGATATCACCGCTCGCGTCTTTCGCACACGCGACACATCCCTGGAAGATGAGGAGGAAACCACCTATCCCACCTTCGATAGCGCCTACATTCAGCGCCGCCGGATGTTCCTGCGCTGGTACATGACCAAGCTTTGCTCGGACCCTACCAAGCCGGAATTCTACGAGTACCTGAACAAAGTCGGGTAGGTGAACCTGTCCCCACGGTTGTCTGGCCCCTCGAAACCCCTGCTAACTCCTATATCAGGCGGATGCACATTGGCAAAGACCGCATGCTCGCCTTCCACGTCGAATATATCCACATCGGCGTGTGTCTCGGGTACATCCAGGATATCATCCTCGAGGCAGTCTTCAGTCACCCACAGCTCACGCTCGCCTTCAAGTTGGCGCTGGTCAAGGCATTGAGCAAGGTGATCTGGATTCAGAATGATCTCTTTGCCCGCTGGCAGGTCCGCGACGGCGAGGAGTTCGCGGAGGACGAGACTGAGTCGGTTCACGAAAACAAGGAGCAGCATCACGATGATTCGGCCTCGTACATCACTCGCTCCAACACCCAGCTCTCAGAGGCCCCGAGTAGTATCTTCTCCGATACCCGGTCAGTTGACACGACCACCAGCCATTTCACCGCCACAATGCACCCCCCAAGTTCATCGCACTCCTCGCACTCGGCCTGCCCGTTCTCGGGCGGATTCAAGCAGTCCTTCGAAACGAAGGTCTGGTCAGGGCCAGACGGGAAAAGAGGTCACTAACCGACCTCCGTTGTGGCATTGATGAATTTCCTTTTTGGCTTAGGTATAGGTATATAGGTATAGAGGGATTAGAGGTGTAGGAACATGTGGGATTCTTGGGAGGGTTGTGGGGGTGTCGGGATTCTGGGAAAAGACTTGAGTTTGGTGTTCGGTCTGGTTGATTTCTTCATGGTTGTTTGATTCCGCTGTTTTGATTCCCCTGGCTCTGCAGATTGAACCGTTGTTTTTTGTCTTTTACCTTGAGAGATTAAACGTGACTTGTATTGAGTAGTACTTCATACTTTGTGTCAGGCATTAACCGGGCACGCCTTGCCCCGGCATCAATATAAATAAATATCATCCCCCGCATTTAAGAATGGACATCCACACCACAACTGTCACAGCGACATATCCTTGCATAAACCCGATACACATAACAGAAGGCAACCAGAATTGTGGCATCGCATTGACAGAGAAAGTGTCCAGATCGACTCTATGATGGAAGCAGCACCCGTGGACCGGGCTTTTACTCTACAGACCCGATGAAGGTTCATGCCACGCAATTTTTCGACTGACGTGTCCCGACAAAGCTGAGGTAGCTACGAACAACACCAAGCTTGCCGTCAACTTGGAAGGGTAAGACCGAGCAACGCGAAAACCCTTGTGGAGGCAGTCACCAGAAGACCATCCGTCGTATTTGCGTACGAACTATTCCCATCCCACCCCTCTACAATCAAGCAGATTCCACCCGCTTATGGCCAGATATTTGTGCCTCGTTGCAGACAAAGTCGTTTGCCAAAGTAGCCCGTGATAAGATATTGGGGGGAGGTTATGCAAGCGTGGGTGAATCGGGTCGGCAAACGGCCGGTCGGACTTTCCAGAGTGAAGAACCTTCGAAGGCTTTCATCACAAGGCTGCTCGAGGGATAAGAAGGCGGCGCTTTCCGATCAAAAGAGACATGTTACTCCTGCTTCGATCGCGTTCGTCTCAAAGCTCCATTTGCAACGAGCGGATCTCGTGGAACATGTTGGAACATGGCGGAGGGTCGGAGGAACTTGAAAGTTGGTGATGAGATTGATCTAGAGCATCCAGACAGGGGGCATAGGAACGAGACGACCTAGAAATTAGCATTCGAAAGTAATAACGCGCTGTCCGCTTGCAAGAGCATCCCAGGGTTGGTGGAGAAGGGAATGAGAGCCCCAAGTGTCATGGCACAAGCCTCCATGTAACTCTGTCAGTTGTGTTCGAGCAAGAGAGTAGAGCTTCTACCTGTTCAGGTGACAAGAAGAGAGATAATGGGCCTGATAATATCAAGAATGGTGAATGTTTAGTCGTCTCGAGTGTTAGAGAGATTGGTGTTGAGTGGTTGATTGTGGTGGGAAAAGAGAAATGGCAGCGATCGACTGCCCGACCGTGAAGGTCACGTGTATGGATATCTTGTTGCCTTGCTGCCTGCCGCCCAGCCACCCGTTACTGCCCGAGGCCGTTTATGAAGGGCTTAATCAGATCGTATCTAGTCCAGAAGATGGAGGGATTATAGAAGGTAAGGTAAACAATGAATTTGATTATATCTCTATCATTACCTACGAAGAGATTATGGCTTTGATTGTTATGTTTTATCTTTTTATCCAACAGCTTGCAGATAAGATGTTGAAGTTGAGAAGCAGCTTTTATTTTGAAATATAATTATCTAAATAATCACTAATAAACACTGTTCCAATCTGCATGATCTATACAAATAGCTATCTACTAGTTATATTATTCTACTGTAACATTTATCTGTTTTTCTTTCTTCTTCTCTGACCCATACTTTGTAAGCTCTGTCCAATGCTGGAGCTCTAATGAGTTCCCTCTTCAGAGAACGAACAAAGAGACAATTCTAAAAGTAAATCATCAGTAGCCAGAGATTTCGGCCAGCTGGCTGAACAAACGCTGTACTGCAGTATTAGCAAAATCATATCCGCCGGCAGACTTTAAACGCAGTTTACAATAATAATCCCTACTTGATCAAAGAAAACATATTCATAACCTAAATATAGTTTCCACCCATGTTCAGTTCCCACGACTTGCGAGAAGCTACGGATAAAGATAAATACACGGGAACAAATAAGAGTAGCAATGTGGTTCGTTCTTACAGTAGTATCTGCTGAATTCTTCGTTGTGGTTCTCTGGTGATCAAGCCCAAAATCATTTATTCCTCGGTTGATTTGTGTTTCTATTTTCTATCCAGGCTATGCTGCAAGATTCTTATGGCTCCGTCTTCTCCTTCTACTGAGCAAATAACATTGAGAGAGTCCAGAAGTGGCTCCCGCCCTTTTAAACATTGATCCTCCCCACATACAGCCCTCCCGTGATGGCAATATTACTGGCAGTAGTATAGGCGGACGCATTACTGAGAAGGTAGACGACTGCGCTGGTCAGATTATTGAAATTGCTAATGCGCCCCAGCGGCGGTCCTTCGTCATAAATGCGGGAATCCTCCCGGCTTTTCTGGGTGCGAACTGCGCGCAACTGCTCCGAATCAATCAAGCCCGGGGAGATGGAGTTCACTCGGATGCCATGCGGCGCCATTTCTACCCTAAGGGCCTCGGTGAGCATGCGCACGGCTCCCTTGGAAGTATTGTATCCGGTCATTCGGTGCTTGGGGAGCACGGTGTGGGCGGTGATCGAGGCGACATGTACAATGCTGCCCGGTGTGCCCTGTTTGAGTAATTGCTTGGTAACTAACTGGGTGGTGAAAAAGGTGCCGAGAACCTGAAGAATAACTTTAGAAAGATGGAGACCAGTCGGAGGCAAGCCTGAACACAGACGAGACATATATATGTTGATTTCTTGGATTCTCGATACCTTCTTCCACGTCTGTTTAATGAAAGGTTTTTTGATAGCGATTCCAGCACTAGTTAAGGCCCCGTCAATGGTCCCGAGGATTTCCACGGCCGTGTTGAAGCCTGCAACGAGACTATCTTTACTGGAAATATCGGTCGGGATGTAGGCTGTCTGGACGCCAAAGCGAGCCTGAAGAGTCTTAAACTTATTATCCGGGGTGTCTTGTATGTCAAGAACAGCTATACTTCCCAACATGTTCTGCGATTGCACGAACCACCGCGAAGCCAATGCCTTGCGTACCGCCCGTGACGATGTACTTGCGATCTTAAAGCTTAAAGAGCGGACGAATATCACGGAGAGGAACAGCTGCTATGGCGGATTTAGGAATACCGCCTGTCTCTAGTCCTGTACCCTAGACCTGAAGCTTTACATCTGTCTATTTCTATTTACTTTATATATAGAGTACATATCGGAATAGTTTCCGGTCCGGGCGGGGGTGATCGGATTTTGCGGAAAGGGGGCCGGAATTGCTGCGAAACAAGCAACGGAGCGGGGCTACTGCCGTTGAAACCCTCAGACGACGTGTACAGTGGACGAATAGTAACAGAAAAACCACCACATCACGTCTACCAATTCTTATGGAGTAGATGTACTGCTGGTAGGCTATGTATACTAGATGCTACAGAGTCTGCCATAGCGCTTATGAGTCTTTTCGTAACCTATTTCACCGTGGAGATGTCTCCAGCGTGATCCCGAAATTGTCCAACATTCTTATTATACTCTGATCCACAAGATTATCCAACCCCTGGGGCTTCGTATAAAAGGCAGGTACGGGAGGGAAGATCACGGCGCCCGCTCGTCGTAAGGCCAGCATGTTTTCTAGGTAGATCTTGCTCAACGGGGTTTCGCGTACCACCAGTATTAGTTTCCGGCCTTTCTTTAAACTGACGTCCGCGGCGCGAGCGATCAGATCCTTGTAATAGCCCATCCGCACGGCTGCTAAGGTCTTTATACTACAGGGTATAACGATCATGCCATCGTGCAGAAAGGAACCGCTGGAGATCGGGGCGGCCAGATCCCGGGCGGAGTAGTTGTAGGTCGCGAGGGAGCGGAGATGCGCGTCGGGAACCTCGGTTTCGTACTTTATTGTGATGGATGCCTACTTGCTCAGAATGAGATACGTCTTAATTTCTAGTTGCTTGAGTTGTTCGAGGAGACGGATGGCGAAGACTGCGCCTGTTGCACCGGTGATTCCGACTATAATGCGTTTAGGCTTAGAGGCCACGGATGGAGAATATATAGCCCTTGCATGTTGTGTCTATGTAGGAATTGCTAACCGTCTAAGAAGTGGGCTGGACCAGGGACGGCAGAAGGCTCGCGACCGAGACATGGCCTAAAAGGGGAGGTGTAGCATGGTAAGCAGTTAGAAATGCCTCGCAGGGGAACCTAAAACCTGCCATCACTCTTATATACGTGCACAGGACATGCATGGTCACTTAGGGGGCCGGAGTATACAATAGAACAGGTGATTTGGTGAAGACCGGTTAAAGACTGTTTATATTCTATCGGAAACCTTCCGATGAGTGGATATACCAGCATACTGGGTAATTACTGTAAGGTAGAAAGATATATCTGTATAGTATACCAGTTGGGTGACAAGTGCGTATATCTTTATCTAAACTAATACTCGCAGGACTCCAACACGATGTTTAGAATATCAGCTACTTATAGCCGACGGACGTCCGCACATGGAAGCCAGCGCTACTATGTTCACCAGGCCACATCCCAAGGCACTGCCCCGGATTTCCGTTCGTTTCTTAATATACTACGCGCGGACGGCGATCTAGTGGATATTTACTAAGAAGTCGATTCTTATCTCGAGGTCGGGGCAATTACTTGATATGTGAGCGAGCGAAACGTCCAGGTGCCGTTATTCTACCAGGTTAAAGGTGCTCGCGATGGACTGTGGAGAATAATTTCGAATCTCCAGAGTCTACGTTAATCCCCGATAGAGAGACTGGGATGCATCGCCCGAGGTATAGGGCTACCGCCGAGTACGAATTAGTGTGAGATTAATATTAAGCTCCTTCAAGCGAAGCAATCCTGCTTTTCAGTCGCCTCTTCTCCCGTACTCTCGACCGGTCCATGTAAGGAAAACAAAATCTTTGGGGACCAGATTAATATAATGCAACTTCCTGCCCCTCTTCTTTACCAGGGGGACGGCGGGAGGTATATACAGATCTATAGAATGTATATTCTTTAGTCGCCCGACGGTTCCTGGACCAACTGGTCCATCGCGCGCGCTATGATTAATGACCGGAACAAGCTGGTCGGTTTTTGCATTTCTCCGCAGTATAATTGGCAGATCAAGAAAATATGGAGGAAACAAGGATATACAGAGGTTCCTTGGGCTCTGGCTCTGGGAGTTCTTCCGGCCGCTATTATTGCCGCGGGTTTGCCCATTTCTGATGGCGCCTCAGAGTTAGATTATGTTAATGCTATTACCGGCTTTCCAATGGGTCTCGTGCGCTGTAAGACCAACGATCTTCTAGTCCTAGCAAGCTGTGAAATTATTTTTAAAGAAATATTGTCTAACACCGAAACGGCCCTGGAGGGCCCTTTTGGCGAATACTTTGGTTATGGCTTTAAAGGTAAGAGCAGACAGATGCTAATATACTATGTAAATGCTATTACCTACCGGGGGAATGCCATTCTGCCTATCTCGGTGCCTGGGGTCATAACGGACGAATCGGTGAGTCGGTTCCCTGCATGCGTTTGTAAAGGAGTAGCCTTTCTGACTGACGGCTCTCAGCACACTCTAGCTGCCTTAATGGTGCCAGAAATTCTTGATATCTGCCTGGAACACGGGCTTCTAATTTCCGATGTATTTGCACCGCTGGAGACTAATGCGATCTGGGTGTTTCTCTAAGTGAACTCGGAGCGACTCAGGTCTATGGGTACTAATGTACAGCAACTATGCAGATCTATCGGGCAGATAGTGTTCCAGGATAAACGCGCGTGGCTGGCCTCGCAACTGTTCCTGGTAGAAGATGATATTAATATCTATAATTTCCAGCAGATAATGTAGGCAGTGGCTTATCGCTCACGCCCCGATCAGAACGATTACAGGTTCGACGATGTGTCTGGCTTGCCTCTTGTACTCTCGATGCGTGGTAGTCCACGCCCTTATCGCGGGGGTAAAACCGTGACCAATTGTCTTCTTAAGTCGGAGTTTACGGCCGGCGGTCGTGATTAGCATAAGATTAACTTTTAGTATACTTATCCTAAGAATATGCAGGAGCGTGTACTGTCACGCTGGGGGGTAATAGGACTAAAATAGTCATCCCGTTCGGGTACTCGACCGCCAACGTCGAGATTCAGATTAGGGCTTTATATTTATTAGATTGCAAGTATGTGTTTACCAGTCCGTCTATAGTTCGAGTATAATTTATAACTACAGCTGCGAAACCAGCTCGGCAGCCTGCCAGGACTTGCTTAACCGGATCTTTAATACTGTTAGAACGCCCTTCTTCATGCTTTCTACTGCCTGGGGCAAGAGCTGTTCGAACTGCTCTGTATTGCCCGCAACCCCGGCCCAAGCATGGTGGCCTGCTGCGGCTTTGGCGATGCCGGCATAATCCGGGGTGGGACTGAACGAGATATTGAGATTTAGATTGTTTACCTGTAATTCTAACCCGGCGGGATATACCAGCTCTAGTGAGTTGCGAGAAACGTTCCATTCTAATAGATAGTTGACCCCGTTATATTAGCCACTCGAGCGACGATAGACGGGACAACTGTTTTAGTTACTTACTGTTGTTACTGAGAACTATGGTGAGAGTCGCCAGATAGTACTGTCGAGCAATCCAGTAGACTGTCTCCGGAGCATCAAATATATACGTTCTATTCCCTACAATTTCGCATATAAACTTACCTTTGCTATTCCCATCTATTAAGTAATCGGACGCCAGTTTAACGCCTAGAGTAGCGCCCCCCGACCAGCCGAGTCCGCCAGCGCTGCAGTTGACCAGATGGCCCGGGGTATCTACCTGCAGCTGATTGGTGATAGGTATTGTATTGGTGATGGTCTCGAGGTACTAGATAGTATCCTGCGGTAATGTTTTACGCAGACAGCGGCCGAGATAGTAGCTGTTAATTAGAGCTAGCAGATTCTTAAGGTCTGTAGCTGCGAGTGCGAGGGCGGCCAGCCGCTTATGGTACGCGTTCTTAGTAGCTGCACCACGGTTGAGATACTCGGCTGATGCGAGAATAGGGGTAAAGCCCTTGTTGCTCGCGATGTACGACTGCAGTTGGCGGAAGGCGGTAGTTGTATCTGTCCGGTAGGTCTTTGAAGCGTTGATGTACTACAGGTTGAGATTGTTCTTCAGAGGGTCGATGTCGATGTGCATAATCTTAGCATACTAGAAGGGACGACAGAAAACAGGAATCCAGGGGACCGCTGCGTGAACGACTAGAATAAAGTCGGCCGTCGGAATAGCTTTGTGGGCTCCGATTCCCAACCCCAAGAATGCCGGATGGGTGAAGGAGAAGCTTACATCACTCCCCAGACAGTCTAAGACGCGCAACCCCGGCATCATATCAACGAGGTCAACCAGCGCAGGCAATGCCTGATGATCTCTGCCCGAGTGTCCAACAATAATTAAAGGACGCTGAGCGTGAACCAGAAGAGTGGCAATCATTTCCACTCCGTTCTCTAGCAGCGCGGTGGGTGAAATGGCTTTCTAATAAGCCTGCTCAATCGTGTAGGACTCAATCTTGGCTTCCAGCACTTCTCGCCCTGCCGTCAGATATACCGGTCTAGGCGGGTCACTCATCGCGAACTGCATCGCCCGACTTATCATCTGCTTGATATTCTTTCTTGTGCGGATCTTCCCGGTATACCGACAGTATTACGAGACAATCTGGCGTTGCTTTTTGGCATCCTGTAACCAATGCATATACTTCGTTCAAGACCCAGACAGTTCGCTATTAATAGTGAAGGGCGAAAGGCCTGCGAAGATAAGAACCGGACAGTAGGCGGCAGAGGTATTGTGAACTACACAGCCCAGAGCTTGAGTTCCAACATTAACATGCACGATGACCGCTTGGGGCTTGCCGGTTAGTCGAGTAAATCTATCGGCTATCAATAAAGCCACCATCTGGCTAATAAAGTCAGTGGGATCTTACACGTACTTGGACAACTACGGCAGTTGTACTTCGTGTGGGCAGGTTATAATCTTAGGGAATTGATCTTTCTTGAACTTCTTCCCGTAGACGATCGCCTCCATGATGACCGGGTGATCCGACTCCAGATTCACGAATATATATGAGACTCCGCCCTGTGACTTGAAGAAAGATATTTAGTAGGACACCAAGTACTCTTTTTTTTTTTTCCAGATTTAGCAAGATAGACCCTACCTTCTACAGAGCCTTGAGGAAAGCGGTAGCAGCAGTATAACTTCTAACCCCGCTCGGTTAGCCAGCTATTACTTATTGTTCGGTACAACATCTTCGGCGATTGGGACAAACACTCACATTTTCAATCGATGAATCGTAGGAATAGTAACTTTGTGACACTGTACTCTTTGAAACATTATATTTTATTTAGTATTATATCTAATGCAGTGCTATATTGGCAAGCTACATCGTCCCCATCGGAAGAGATGCGGTGGCACGTCAGTTCCGAACAGCGTCCGTTCCGCATCGGAAGCTGCATTCCGATTATCTATTATTTGGCTTTCGGCAATTGAACTGTAGGCTGACGGGAAAGAAATATTTCGAGATTGATATAATAATAACTGATAATACTAAACAGAGAGAAGAAAGAGAGAGTGCAAAGCTACAGTCCGCCTGGGATAATCTTTCCATGCTTACAGCGCATCGCGCCACCTGGCTGCCGAAAAGGTAATATCTTGATACAGAAAAAGAGCTAGAAGAAGGTGGACTGGAAGAAATCTATACTATTATATTTTCGCTCTCGCACCTTCAGCTGCGAGCTCTTCTGGAAGGCCATTTTTTAGCAGTAACAGGCGATTCAAATCGGCGGTATTAATATATCTAGGGCTGGCGTCTCGCAGGTTGGTCAATCCTACCAGCTGCATCGCCGTCTCGACTTCTTGTTTAAGAACTAAGAATGTATTATAAATGTTAGTACTGTCGACCAGTTCTTACTCTAGGTTTATCTATTTTCGATAGCATGAAGCACTCCCGGCTTCCCGTAGGTCAAGGCGTAGATAAACAGTCGATCCAGACCGACAGCCGAGGCTTCCAAATAAACGGCTTTAATAATATCAGACCCTCGTCGGAACCCTTCGTCTACCAGAACAACTATTCTTTCGAATGCCTCCGGGCAGTTACGGCGGATCTCAAGAAGGGTCAAGATGGATAGGGGCGTTGTGTCGGCGGTGTGACCACCATGGTTACTAACTACAATGCCGTCGAGACTATAATACAGGGTAAGATGTGTATCTTCTGCCTGCTGAATTCCTTTTATCAGCAGCAGCAGTCCGGTAATTCTTCGAAGCCAGAGAATATCCTGCCAGTTAAGAGTAGGATTAATAAACGAGCTATTCGACTTGGCTAAGTCCGCATATACATTTATAAGTGGGGCCCCCAGCGGCTGCTGCTGGTTGATACTTACTACCAGGCCTCTGCCTTTCTCGGGCTTAAGCCGCTCATCGGCCTCTTGCTTGGACATAACGGGAAGATCGGCGGTAATCAGAAACCTCTTGATTTTTCCGGATGCTGTGGCCTGCCGTATCTATGCTTCTGTTTTGCTCCGATTTTTGTTAATATATACCTGCAGCCATGCCTGCTCCGGGGTCGTATTAAGAATCTCGGCGAGGGAATGGAAGGCGGTGGTAGCGATGTATTGCATATTTCCGGCCTTATATACTGCCCGTGCCAATAGTAGTTTATCCTCTCTACAGATATTCTTGGCCGCACCCACCGGCGCGATGTATACGGGCACCTTAAATTAACAGCCCAGCAATATCCGGCGCGTGGTTACTGTAGAGATATCGCGTATGATCGCTGGTCGCAGCCAGATCCGCTGCAGCATCGTCTGGTTGGCATCTCGCGTGAGATTGTCGTTGGCCGCACTGCTGTTGAACGCCTATGACTTAGGGCTTAGCTGGTCTCAGGCGACCTTTTCGAAGTCCTTGAGACTGAGAGCGTCGCTGAGAGGGGGCTTGCGAGGAGCCTAGGGCGAGTGTATCGGGGCTGTCTCGGTCGTGACCGAGGTTAGCCAGCTCGGGGGAACGGTAGAGGTGTCCAACTCGCTGATGCAGGAACCGTAGAGTTCGGTAGCGATCAGCGAGGAGGAATAGATATTATTATACTTTACTGACGCATCTTTACCGGCATGTTGGTAGATGACTGGGATTCGGTTGTATTAGAGAAGACAGGAGGATCAGGATGCTAGATAGGTAGGGCTTCTTTACTCTGGGCTCCCCCCGGATGTATCGGGGCAAATTTAGTCACGTCGTAGACTTTTCTATTAACTATAATCCAGATATCTGTCTCCAGACTATGGGTTTCTACTTCTTTTACAGACACTATTCGGAAGAACATGTTGCAGAATTAACTCGTTTGAAATTCAGCCTGGACATAATTATTCTGGCTTGCCCTGGGTGCAGTAGGCGGCAGAAGCAGTAGTTATCATACGTTATTTGTACGCGCTTGTATGATAAGCCCAATTCCGCATCCATCGGAACGGCTAAACTAATAACAGATATTATCAACCTGCTATATTCCTCTTTCCGCATGATTTTTAAAATACGAATTATCTTTTTAATTGTGTGGAAATGGGGGACCCGTAACATAATAGTAGTTGACAGCGTAGTATACAATAGAAACATCGACGAGTTCAATTCTCGGATCTACTCAAGGAGGTAGGATGGCTACTGGTAGACTCAGATAGGCCGGATTCAGTTTGCAAATGAGGCCGAAGCAGCTTGTTTAACTCCGTCCAGATCGTGCCATCAAGGAGCTGATCCAGCGGTGGATCATTGTCCGAAGCCAGTGGCGCCCAATCGAACAACAGGTCCGCTTGATCTGACCCCCCATGATCAGCTCCCCGTGGCGATGGCAAGGTCCAATCGCTCAGGTCTCCTCCAGTGGGGTCCGCGAAAATCGGAACCATGGAGCTCTTCGAGGTTTGCAGACTACTAGGGTTGACGGGCCCCTCAGTCGGCGCGGCAGAAATGCCGTCTATCGAGATGAATTGAAGACGAACCAAGATCCCGAGAATATGCTGCAGACGGCAGTGGAGCTGGGCGCATGCTGGAGATAGTCCAGAGCAGGCGTCGGTTAGCTTCAGCACATTTTTGAGAGGGACGCAAACGACGCGCGTGATGGAGCTTGACAACCCGATCTTGGACGTATTGTCAAGGGGGCCGCTGTAGGTGTAGATGATGCTGAGTAAGATCAAGGCTGCAGCGGAGGCGATGAATTGACTGAAAAGAGCGTGCAGCCGGCGATACAAATCGGTTTGTCCATCGAGCTGCTTCAGGATGGTGATAGTCTCTACAGCAGTGTCGATTGCCTGCGAGATGTGCGCCTGACTGGGCTTGACGGGGCTGTCTTGGAAGAACAATGGTCGAAGCATGAGGATTCGGAGCTGATTGGCACGCAAACTCAGCATCGTTTGGATGAAATCGGAGGCTTTGTCAGAGTTTGAAGAGACTGAAGGGACTGGGGAGGAAAGAGACTGGAGTTTAGCGATTGCAGACTGTTGCCACCGGTCGATCTGATAATTAATAAATTGAAATTGTTCCTCCTCGTACAGGTCTGGATTCACAGGTAGACCCGCAGTTGCATTCACGATCTTCGAACTGATGACACAGTAGGACATCATCGCATTCAGATATTGCGTCTTGACCTATGCAGTAATGGTCAGACTATCAGCACACTGACTTCAATTCTTCCCATGACAGGCAGGTGGGCATAACATACGAGGTGTAGCTGTGCAGGGACCAATGACCCGTCGTCCATGTGACGGGGAAGCCCTAGAGCCGTGCTCCATTCATGGTCCAGCACAAAAATACTCCACATCAATGTTGTCGCCTTTACTTGCTCTCCCTCGTCACCAAAGGCTTTCTGTAGTGTCATCGGTCGGTGTAGGCCGAGCTCTAAAGCTAAGGAGGCGGCAACACCTCCAAGTCTCCACGCCATTCGTAGACTTCCAGAGAATAGGTGATAAACTGCCTGTTAATCAGTTTTAGTAAAGTCCAAAAGTCCAACGACAGAGTGCAGGGAGGACCGACACCAAGCAGCACAAGGATCACACCCCTCAGACTAACATGCTCAGCTTGTCAATGTGCCTGCCTCGCGTTTGAAATCCTTAGCGTGGAAGACAGGACCGCGGAAGGTATCCTGGCCAGGGTATGAGGGCATATTAGGTAAAGAGGTGAGGCCGGTGGCCAGAATCAGTCGTTTAGAACCCATTTCCGTCGTGGAGTTGGATGGGTCGTTCGAGCAGGCAACGTGAAGTCTCCACCCATCACCTTCTGACTGTGGCTGCACTGCTGTTACTCGTGTGTGGAATTGAACTCGATCAAAGACTCCAAAATGTTTGGCGTAGTCGGTCAGATAACGATGTAAAGTGGCAGCGGGGATGTGGCTGTCGGCCTTGACCCCATAGACGTCTTCCGACATGGGAAAGTCGGGGTATTCATAAGAGCCCACCATGTTATTCGACTTGAGTCCAGGGTAGAGTCTTTCCTGTCCCCATGTACCTCCACACGAGCCAGCTGATTCGAGGACTACAATGCGGTCCCGAGGGTGCAGCTGAATGTAGTGCTTCGCAACAGACAAACCAAACCATCCTAAACAATACAACCAGGAGTTAGCAAACTAGGAACTTGGTCCCCCATCATGGGTGGAGATGGTGATATAGAAAAGCCTACCTGCCCCAACGACAATGAGGTCAATATCTGGAGTTGTTCTAGTCATCTTGTTGGATGTCGACGATGTGAGCTCCGAATAGTACGGTGCTCTCTGTAAGACATTTCACCTAAATACCTGGATCGGAAAATGCGACTCCCATGTTACCGCGCACGAGTTGGTGGATAGGACTTCGAAAGGAAAGGCGGGAGAGGGGAAGGGTTCCGCAGATTCCGATGAATTGTTCAATGAATGAATGTCCTGATGATCAGAGCAACGAATTGCAATGTCTCAGGGTTTCCGCATTCCGATTCACTATCCACCCTCTCACCCACATTGTCAATTCCGATAGTCTAGCCTGTCAGCAATGACAGCACTGTGGCCACTCAACATAGCTCAGCTTGAGACAAAACCCTTGTTCCGTGCTCCGCCTGAACCCTCAGTAACTTCCCAACTACTCCCTGCCTCGCCAATCTACGTTACGATCATGTCTCAGCAGCAACCCAGATACACCACGACACCTGACTATGGCAGTGAGAAAGTCCTTTTCCGTGGTTCACCGGCGTATGAACGATGCCGGTGCATGAACCCAACCGCCGAGACCCCAGATCGCTATCCTCGCGAGATCCATTTGGTGGAAACCGCCGCCGATGTGGCTGCGGGTCTCAAGCGGGCCTCTGAGCTCAAAACAACCGTGGGGATTCGATCATCGGGTCATATCATGAACCTAGGCAACCTCATCCAAGACGGAATCCTGATTGATACCGTCAACCTCAACCGCCACGTTGACTACAACCCTGTGACCCGTGAGATCTGCTTTGGACCATCTTCGCGCGTGGAGGAACTGGGCGCGGCATTGGGATCGGTTCAACGGTTTTTTCCGCACGGAAATGCACCAACTGTCGGCTCAGGCGGGTTCATGCTCGCTGTGGGCCAAGGATGGTTTGTCCGCGGCTGGGGGGCAACCAGCCAGACCTGGATCGAGCGTTTTGAGGTTGTCGTCCCCGATGGGCGTGTCCTCATCGCCAGTCGTACTGAGAATCAAGATCTCTTCTGGGCAGCCCGTGGCTCAGGCTTGGGGTTCTTTGGCGTTATCACGCGCTTCTGGGGACGAACCATCCGTGCCTCCAAGATGTGGGAGCGCACCTTCAAGTTTGAGATCGATGATAATAGCTATGAGCCCCTAATGACCTGGACCATCGAGCGAGGTCGCCATACTCCCAAGTACGGAACCGATCTCAATATCACGATTGACTACCCGGAAAAGTACGATCCCCAATACGATTCCGACGAGATCCCGGCCGGCGCGAAATTGCATCTCAACCTCAATCTTTTATGCTATACTGACACCATTCTCGAAGCCCGGACGCTGATGAGTGCGTGGGATGCGATCCCCGACGCTGTCCGCGAATATCTGCTGGAAATGAAGCCTGTTCAGCGGAGAACCTTCGAGGAGGTCTTCGCCCGCAAACGCGGCTTCTTGGGAAACCATCGCCAAGACAAATGGCAGATCAACTCCATCATGAATGAACCAAGCTGTCCGGTAGGAAAGGTGCGTGAAGACCCAGGGGTGCTCATTCAGCCGTACCCAGCTGACGGCTGTCCCTCCAGTTACTCGAGGCGATCAAGCCGGCCATGCTTGAGCTACCCACCCGGACCTCGAGTGTCTTCGCCTGTTTCTGTGACATTGTCCCAGATGAAAAAGATGCGGCCTTGAGCCTGCCGCAAGATTTGTATATCTCAACAATCACTGGCTCGGTCGAGGCGCAATCAAAACCCGCCCTCTGGGATCACATGAGGGACCGCTACCAGCGAGCCTTCCACGTCGCTGTAGGACAGTATATCACCGAGATTGATATGAACAACGAGACTGCCAACGTACGTCTTTGTCTGGCTTTAGCCTGCATAGCTACAGAAACTAACCATCGCACACAGACTCGGGTTCTGAGTGATACCGCGCTCGCAAGATTCCTTAAGATCCGCGAGAAGTACGACCCACAAGGGCTTTTTCCGAACTACAAGGCCATCGTTAGAAGTCACGCAAAGATGGATAAGCTAGACAGCCTTGCGAAGCTTTGAAGGGCTGGATTAGTCTTCTTTTATCCATCGTCCATTTGTTTCCTCTGATGTTGCAGAGTCGATGATTCGCTAAGAAGCGTATCGGGTTCAACGTCAGGCTGATTTGGTGCTTGGCCATTGATCCCCGACATACCAGACACTAGGTCATAGTGAGCTTCCCTCCAGTGCCAATGAAGAAGAAGTCGGCCCCGATGTGCTATGCAGACAAGCATTGTAACGTAGCCCATCTCATTAGTATGCGGAATAGTGCAATCTATGAAAGCAACGCGCCTTGTGCATCTCGCTATCTTGCCCATTCATTAGAGAGTAGACCAGGTCATTTTTAAGAATCCTGGCATCGTGATCTACTGGCATTGCAGGTTGATAACTGGGCGTATGATTCCCGTATGGGGCGCTGCTCTTTAAAACACAGTGACTCACGGCTCTTCCATGTATTCCCGCACCTTATACTCGAAGAGCTGGTTCGAAGGTACCGCCGTGTGATCTCGCAATTTCTCCGCCGTGGCTATCCCACACACTGGCACGCGGTACTCAACCCTCCGACCATCTGGCAGAGGACATGGGAAGGGCAAATAGTCCGGTATAAGCCCGAGTTGTGCAAGCACGGTACCTTGATCCCATGAAATATGTTCGTGATACAGTCGATCCCCACGGATATTCACTATTGCCGTGAAGGGGATTGCAGCGCGTTTCTGTGTTGGGGGCACTCCGGGCAGACTGCGTCCCGAAGATTAGTGATCGGTATTGGGGTAGACGTAGTGGACCTGGGAATAGAAACGTATTGGGGTAAGAGAGTGGAATTGAACGACTTACAGCCAATCCAGCTCCCGGTCATGGGTAAATTTAAAGATGAACTCGTCGATGACGCGGTCAATGCCGAGGCTTCGGCTGATCAGCTCTGTCTCAGTATCGGCGGAATTGTTGAAGATGAAGTTGTGCCGGTAGAAGTGAGTAAGAGATTCACGACCAATTCCGCCGGTAAGCTAGGGATATCAGTCTCTTTCCAGGTTCAGCCGCAGAGGCTTTCGCAGGATGGCAAGAGAGATCAGTGTTCTCACCGTCGGAACATGATTCACGTATGGCTGAGCGACCATAGTACTCATGGTGTGCTCCACACTTCGGTCGGTGAATTCATAGAAAGTGTGCTCGTCCCAGATGGCCTCCAAATCAAAGTACGGGCCTGCCATCAAAGGCTTTAAGAAAGACAGACTGCGAGTATGGGAGATGGACTCCGGGCCATACAGAAAGTCGTCGGCGAAGGGCGTGGCAAACAAGAAGGATTTGGCGGTGGGGTAATAATACTCCTGGGAGGGCTGGCTGGTCTGGCGGCTCTGAGTCTTGGGTCTTGTGCCCGCAAGGTGGCAGAGAATCGGCTGGGCGGCCGGAGTACAGGCACTTGGGAGTTTAGCCCCGGCCTCTCCATACATCACGATTGCGACGATGCTCGGGATACCAGGGATGGTGGTGGCCACGGAAGTCCACAAATGAGGGTCGTACACTTTGCCCCCGGGTCAGGAGTCGACCTTCTTGTTTCACGGGAGGGGAGATCGACGTACCGATTAAGCCTATCTTTCCATTGTCACAGTCCTTGCTAGCTGCCAAAGCGTCCAGAGCGATGGTAAATGCATCGTGGCCACCACCACCAGCCAGAGCTTGTTCTTGGACTTCAACCACCGAATATCCTTCCTCCGCCCATTTGATCAGGGGTGATGGCACTCCATCGATAATGTCCAGCGAGTGATCAGTGTTGGGCACCAGAAGAATCAACCCTGGACCATGTCCTCTCCGCGACAGAGGCAGCAAGAACGAGATCCCTGGGCCGAGTCGAGTGAGGTTAATGCTTGGGAGAGAAGCAGGCGGTTTGCTGATATCCCAATCTTCCATCTTGATGTTGAGGTGTAGCAGGTGTCGTCGAGCAGGTCCTTCAAGATACAAGGACTGGACAGTTTGCAAGACCGATTCCACAACTCGGCCATTCTATTGAATCGATATAGTCGAGCGGGGAGGGCCGTTGCTGGCCCTGACGGAAAAGCGGCGTCGGAATGTTCCGATGGGGATGTGGTTTTTGTTTTGGCATGACGGCGAATGGACCCCAGCCGCTTCATCGTTCCGACTCCATCATCAGTGAAGATAGAGTCAGAGATGTGAATAGAGCTGTTGACATCGGGAAGTTGGGTGGGAGGAGCGGATTGCGAAGCTGCCGAGGACAGGACTTTACTGAGTGGGCGCGTCGGGCGGGTGCGGCGGGGGGCTTAATCACGCAGTGGCAACGGGGTCTAAGGCTTGGAATTGTGAATGAAACGGGACGACCGCTTCGTTTTCCAAGATTAGACAACAAGCAGGTGAGCAAGGGGGTGTATAGATAGACAGAAGCCGTGGTAGTCCAGCGGTTGTTGTCTGTACTGTACTGTTTATTTATCATTTGACCTATTTGAAATGTTTGTATTGTTTGAGCGAGTCAAATTGTTTAATTGAGATTGTTCCAGGGTCACGGGATCAATTCACGGAGAAGCTGACTCATCCGCTTGCTCTCAGCATAACTAGTTAGTGAACTAACTCTTTCGTAATCCAACCCAATGCTGCAAGCTGCCTCATCAACTCATCCGGTATATGAAATCACGCAACTGCGTTAATTACCATTGCGACCATTGCACCCCCGCACGCTTAGATTGATCCTGCAGGCACTTCATCTGCAGGAGCCGGCGGATGTCACCCTGAACTCCACCCCTAAAATATTGGCAACATTGGCTTCAATGCCCCTCGGGTTGGCACGCCATTGCCAAGGTATTCAGCACTGACCGGGTCACCAAAGGGTTGCAATGCTTTTCTACGTCTCTGATCTCCATATTCTCAGGATCAGCTTGGGACAGAGTTGGAACTCCGCGTATAGACCTTCGGTTGAACGGAAGATATGGCGAGTATACCGTTGAGATGCGCAAGCATCAATTTCGGGGACGTCGGGGTCAAACCTCGCGTCAATGGAGCAATGG